AATTAAATATTAACATGCTAATTAAAACAAACATATTAATTAACTTTGGATTTAAAATAACTAAATTTTTCTATAGTATTAAATAATTATACTAATTATAACTACAATTTTTTACAACAAGTAATCTCATTACAATTATAAATAGATATTTTAGTTTGTTTTGATAAAACAAATTATTTATATACTGTAAATGATTTCAATGTATTGTTTATGTAAAAGTAAATAATTAAAATAAATTAAATAAAGCTTACAATTAATTTGAATTGATTCACAAAACTCGTGTTTAATCAACGCATCAATTTTGACACTTTACACGTGTCGAGTGTTCAGATGTCATATAAATAAATATAAACAAAAGTATTATAATATCTAATTTATATTACTTTCAATCAAATGATTACTGATAAATAATAATTATTATAATTATTATTATTGTAGTATACTATATTTTGCAGATATTTAGTGTTAATTTTAGTTCATAATTATATGTATTTTAAAATTAATTTTAAATATAATGTGATATTTATTAAAACAATATCTTTTAAGTGCAAATTGTTGCTTCAAATTTAAAATCAAAAACTCATATCTATTTTAACCATTATTTAAATTAAAATAATATTTAAATAATATGAATGTATATTAAAAATTTTTATAAAAACTTATACAAATTATTAATATAACATTAAACAAAAGTATTATTGAATTGTCGAAGAATTTTGATGAAGTAAATGCTTACACATAGTATAGTAATTAAAGAAAAAATTGAAATTATTTTTATTTCAAACGGACTAAAAAAATATTTTAAAAACTTATTAAAATAAAATTCATTGTAAAATATCTTAAAATAATCTATAATTTTCTAATTTATAATATAATATAAAACTTGTAAAATATGCGTCAATATCTTGAAGGTTGACTTTATAAAAAATAATAAAATAATAATAAGAAAACTAACTTAATTTTAATCTATAATTAATTTAATTGTTTAATACAACATACTGTATATAAAATAAATTTGTTATATCTTCAGGAAATATTTAATTTAGTTAAACAAACGTATGATTTAATGATAGTTTTAACTATTAAAAAGACATTGGCATTGAAACATTGCATCACATGTTTGATATTATTACACTAATAACAAATTGATCTTCTCATAGCTATTAATAGCTTATCCCTTAAATTATCAGTCATAATAAACAATTAAATTAATATGAATTAAATTGAATGGTCAACAATATAAAACAATAGTTAATTTACAAAAACAACTTAATATGTTTACTGAATAACTTATTAATATTATGACATTATATATATATATATATATATATATATAGTATTATTATATTAATTGTTATTATAATACTGTATAATAATTACATTGCTTTGCGGAAATGAAACTGAATGTATAAATAACAATTTATTTTCTCATTTTATATTTTAATCATATGTATACTTAAAAATAATTTTTGAAATATTATGCTATATCAATGATAGAAAATAAGGTCCACTCATCAATGATATGTTTATTTAATATACTGGTGACCGTCAATAAAATGTCGTGTGATGTGATAATTTAAAAATTTAAAATTAAAAAATGATATTATAAGATATTTTTAAATATTTTTATTATTTGTAAAATTGTAAAAAATAAGTGAAAGTTTGTGATTAGATAATATAAATTTGAAAGTTATTAACACTTGTTGTTTAGCACAATAACCTTGTGAGACACAGACCATTGAATATAAATGTCAACTGAAACACAATTTTCAATATACATATTAAACAGTATTTGTTGTTTTCCTTTATTTTAGTTCTATAATCAATGAATTTAGTTTAATTAAAATATAATTAATATAAAAAATAATATTAATATTTTTCAATGATTTATGGATAACAATAATATATATGACGTTTTTTTTTGCATTACTGAACTGCACATTATTTAATTTTCAATAATATATATTAAATGTTAATCATTTACCCTTGGTTCATTACTTACATACAATTGTAGTGATTTTTTATATTTAAAAAAATGCTCAAGGATTTGATGAATGAATTATTATTAAATTTATCAAATTTTATAATAAAAAATATAACTAATAAAAAAAATAATAGTTAATAATAATATTAAAAGAGTTAGTGATGGAGCCGACATTGAATGCCAACATCAATATATAGATGTTATATATTAAAATTATTTTTATTTATAAAATAAAATAAAATAGTAAATTGATTTTTACAATCCTTGGCTATAAAGACTATAATATACGTCTCATAAATTAATAACAAAAATATTCACTAATATTGTTTAATAAAAAATATAATAAATTTATTAATTAAAGCATAAATTAATTTGTAATTACCTAAAAAAAATTTAATATAACAATGTATTGTAAATTTAATACAGTATTACAATTAAATTATAAAATATGAATCACAACATTGCATAAAACAACCTTGATTTAATCGTTAAGATATATCTTTTTGGCTAATCTATAATAATTATGTTAAGCTTAATTATTTATAATTTTATAAATTTAGTATATTGTAATTTAGCGTAATTGTGTGTATATACAGTAGTATATAAACTATATTTAAAATAAGTACATTTACTATTTATAAATAATAAAAATTTCATAATATCAAAAATAAAACACATTTATTTCAAATCAATTATAAAGCGGGCGTTTTCTCCCAACATGTTATCACATGTAATATAATAATAATAATAATAATATCCCCTTAATTTAACCCTCTATTTAATTGACCTACAATTTTTATGTCTTAATATAATTATAGGATTTTCTTCCTCCTGATTATACTAAACGTTAACTTAGCTTGTTTCTACATTTAATAAAAGTAAAAATTTTTTATATTAACTTTTATTATTATTATTAGTAGTAGTAAAAGTAAATTAATGAATATTTATAAAAAAAAACTCATTTTAAAATCTTTATGCAAAACACACCCAAAATTAGAAAACATTTCTTAAAATTTATTGCAAATATTTATTGATAATTTTTAAAAACATTTTTTATGAAATTTTTTATGAAATTTTTTTATGAATTTTTTTCTTGTAAACTATTATATGTCTCAAAACTCAGGTAATCATTTGGGAAATCCTATTTTTTATTATAAATCAATATATTGTAGTTACTATAGTGTCAGGGTTATTAAGTACATCAATTGTTGACTATTTAATCATTGTATCGTTTTTATTTAATTAATATTCATTTTACAAATATAGTACTTTTAAATTATTAAAATAATTGTTTGGGTATTTTTAAAAATATTCAAAATAAAATGTTTTGTAATTAATATTATAAAAGATGTCACTTTATATAAAGCAAATTTAATTAAAGTAGGTTTACAAAAAATAACTTTTTAAATAATATTGAATATATTATATTTAATTTTTTCACATTTATTTTTATCAAAGCTATTTTTAAGAATATATTTTACTTAAAATATCAAATACTATACTATTTATAATATTATTAATATAATATTAAATATATCACAAATTACGGTAATAGGAAGCAATATACAGTACATTTATAAACATACAGTAATTTACTTTCAAATTACTTAACCTTTATATTTATTATTAGATTACTATAGTTTACCTCTTTAAAATTGTTTTTATTATATATTAGATATGTTTATTGACAAATACTGTTATATGTAATTTATAAGGAGGTAATTATGAAACAAATTATAATTAGAAAGTTATTGAAAACTAAACACTTTTTCCATTATATTAATGACAGATTAGTACTTTAGCAGACAGACACCTGTTTTAAGTAATATATTTCTTAATAATAATAATAAAAGTAATAATAATAATAATATTATTATTATTATTATTACAAATCATTGGAAAGGGAGTTATTGCATACAACACACGTTAATTGTAATGTTTGCAAAAAATACAGCAAAACATTATACAACTCGTGTGTCGAGTATATAAACTGAAGGCTCCGATGAAGTGACAAAACTCCGCTATTTTTTAAAATAATATTACTTTAGTTTTATTTTTAACAAGTATTTCATATTCAATCGCTGTCTTTATCTAAATTGTTTCAAATATCAATATTGTTTAATAATAAATAGTTTCTTAAAGAATATATAATATTCAAATGTTAATTGTTTTTAAAGTGAGACAAAAAAATTAATTTCTATAAATATATATATACTAAACATAAAAGCATTTGGAAAACAAGATAAACTTCAAATTAAGGATTTTAGTTTTTATTAAATAATATTATGTTTAATTGGTAAGTAAAACGTTTATATGTATAATGTTTTAAAATGTAAAGTATAATGTATTAATACAGTATATATATATACTGTATTATGATTTGCATATAAATTTGATAAAATTAGTATAATTAATGTTAAGATAGTCTTGTGATACTTAATAATACTTTTTATGTTTAAAATTTATATATAAAGAATTTATTTGTTGGCAACTGTTTTACAGTAGTTATCCAAATAAATTAATGTTTAAAAAATTACTTTAAAAAATTATATATTTTTTAATTAATTCTGTAATATTTATAATTTATATTATATATATATTCTTAATATATAAGTTGGTTCAAAAATTATATGTTTTGATTAGTTGAGACAAGTTTTATATAATATATAGCATTGATAACAGTGAAAATGATTTGATAGAAAATACTCAACAAACATTATAAATTAAAAACTTGTTATTTATTTACAGTTTATACACTAAACTTAATTAATTAAATAAATATTAAAAAGTACTTTATTTTATAAGTTTATAAAACTATAATTTCAAGTTCATTGTACCAATTCCAGTATAATAAAATTAAGCTATTTGTTAATAAATAGTTTTAATTATTTATGAAGTATTATTAATTTATAAGAATATCTTATTAATTGATTATATATTTTATTTAATAAATTATATTATAATAGAATACCTAAACATAAGTAAATTATTGATAAATTGAACAAATTTGGTGAAAATGGCAAATATGAATAAATTCAAAAATATTGTCAATCACTTCAATACAATGGCATCGCAGTCGGCACCTAATGATAGCAAAATAATTCGGTCAAAATTAATATTGAAAAAGTACCCGTATCATTCACTATGTGAACTACTTTTTGAAAGATTACAAACTGACCCTGATAAACCATGCATTGTATGTATCGATTTATCTAATTTCATTTATTAACAATAAGTATTATTAATTATTAATATTATTAATCAATATTTAATTTGATTACCAGATTGACTGTTCACTGGATAGACGTTGGACTAAACGACAAGTGTTTGAATCGAGTCTCAACTTTGCCTACTATTTGATAAATGACTGCCAATTAAGCAAAGGAGACATTGTTTGCTTTGTGACCAACAACTCAGATATTCACGCCATTAGTATTGTCGGTGTATTAGTTGCCGGCGGTGTCTATAGTTCTTTGGCTGAACATTCATCTGAACGTAAGTCTAGTTTTAATTTTGTTTTTTTATAATCATTTATTTATTTATTCAAATAATATAATGTTAGGTGAGATACGTGAAGTGATTGAAAACATTAAGCCAACTGTTTTGGTGTGTATCGGACAAAACTTTCAGGTTATGGATGATGTGGCTAATGATTATCCATTTGTTAAGGTTTGTCAATTCATTTATCATTATATTTATATAACATTTTTAACATAAAATTTAGAAAAATTAGTTAAATGCAGTTTAAGACATAGTTGCATTTTTAGTAATATAATTATTTAAAACTAAAATTTAAAAAATATTTATATAAAAGTACAATAAAATTTGTAATTATATGAAATAATAAGTATTGTATTATTTCAGAAACTGTTGGTAATCGACGAGCCGTCCAAAGCAGAGATTAAAAAGAAAAGTGATTTATTGACAATTGAGAAGATATTTGAACAAAACCGTAAAGACAACATCCAATTACCCATTTGTGGTGATTTGGATGATTGCGCAACACTTGTAATGAGTAGTGGCAGTACAGGGCGTCCCAAAGCCATACTCCGAACAAATCGTAACTTTTTGGCCACAATCGCTACAATGCAACACAAAGAGTTGTGTCCACTCACTTCCGGTGAGATATTCCTCTCGAGTGGTTTTTGTCATATATGTGGCCAGAGGTCACTATTCTCGTGCATCAATGGCGGCGCACAGTTGGCTATAATCAGGATTGAAGAGAAACACGACGACGCCTTCACTAACATTCATAAGTATAATATAACGAGTGGTTTCATAATAACAACACAATTGAATTATTTGGCAAAAAATTATGAAAAGTATGACAAAAATTATTTGAAGAGTTTTTGCGACATTTTAGCCGGTGGTTCACATTTGTCAGACTCTACTTATAAAGCAATTGTCGAGTTATATGACTTTGAAAAGTTTAGAAGCTGTAAGTTATATACAAATTTGTTATATATTTGAAAATAATTGTGAAATTTTATTATTTTAGGCTATGGTATGTCTGAAATTGGTTGGGCTATAATGGTCTACCTGAGCGATCAACGCCGACTCACCAACACCGCCACATGCGGTAAAGTATCGCCCGGTTTAGAGTGCAGAGTGATTGATGAAAATGAACAGCCAGTTGGTCCTAATGTGTTGGGACAGCTATGTTTTAGAGGGGATCAGGTATGTAATAATTGAAAGATTATTTTACAGATTATTAAATTAAATTAAAATTGTTTTTAATAAAATTATATATTAAAAACTAATACTTTATTTTATACTTTAATGTAACTCCAGGTGACTCCAGGATATCTTAATAATGATAAAGAAAATGCTAAACTGTTTACAAACGACGGTTTCCTTAAAAGTGGTGATTATGGCTATTATGACGATAAGGAGTTTTTCTATGTTATCGGAAGATTCAAAGAAATTATCAAAGTTGAAGGTATATCTCATGTCTTATTTTATTTTTATCAAAAAATATTCAATAGTAATGACAAATGTTTTTTTTTTGATAATTATTTCAATCATTAGGATATGTTGTATCTCCAGCAGAGTTGGAGCACATCCTATTGCAGAACAAGAAGATAGAAAACGTAGCCGTCATTGGCATTAAAGATGAGGAAAGGGATGAAATACCTATGGCTTTCGTGACACTCGTAAAGGGCGCGTCACTTACTGAACAACAGATTCAGGATTGGGTTGACTCTCGAGTTAATTACTATAAGAAGTTAAGAGGAGGCGTCCGTATCATTGACTCATTCCCTTTGACACCACTGAAGAAGATTAATAAAACAGAACTGAAGAGAATGATTCCGCCGGAACTCCTATAAAGTCATTACATATATATTAATACATTATATTATAAGGTTGTGCACCACTTATACTATAATTATTTAGATTTTTATTATTATTTTTTTATTGTAAGTTGATTTGTATTATTTGTTTGATGTATATTTTTTGATGTAAATTTTTGATGTAACTTATTTTACTTGTGTTTTAGTGACTCATTTGTGTTAAACCGATTGTAATTTTAGTTTAGTTTATTTTTGTTTTTTGTTTTCTTCAAATTTGAGTTTTATAAATTTAAATACTTAATATACATTAGTATAATATATAATATGAATTGTGATAATCGTTTTGATACTTTACTTTATTTAATTATTTGTATTATGAATAACTTAATATTATAATATATATTTTTGGAGAAAGATAATATCTCATATACATATGATTTAATGTATTTTAATAAGTAAATATAACTTAAATATAAAAAATTAAAATATCACATATTGTAATATAAATTTGTAAAAATCCATATTTAAAATAAATAATTATTTCTTTTTAAATACTATTTAATTATTATAATAATTACTCTATTAAAAAGCATGAAAATTATTGTCATTTTATTGTCAAATTAATATATATGTATGAAAACTAATGACAGTTTTTGTAAATCTCTAATATCAGTCATTTTAATTAATAATTATAATTGTATTATAAATGGAATAAACAAAATATTAATATTATTCTGAATTATAATTATTAATCCAAATTAATAAAATAAAAAAATAATTTCAAGAATAATATCGATATTTGTTTTATTTGCTGTAAGAGTTTAAACTCAGAATTTGTTTATTGGTTTGTAATGAAAATTATAATAAAAAAGTAAACACAAAATACAGTATTAAAAATGACTAATATTTTTGTTTTTTCTATAAATTATAGATTATACTGTAATTAAAATATTTTATTTAATGTTTAAATGCAATGTAGCTTATAGAAAGTAGAGTCACTTATTCAAAACTAAATATACAAAAAAATATTATAATTTTTTTTATTATAAATAAAACTTGAGTTAGTTTAAAGTATAATATATACAGTCGCTTTCAGAAGGGTGGTAACAGGTTTTTCGTGAATATCTAACTAAATATAATAAATAGAATAAAACTATTATTTTTGATACTATGGTTTTTTGGGACGGATATTGTAAAATCTTAACATTCGATGCAGCGCAGCTCAGGGATGTAGGGACAGGGAGGTACTGTATCTCAAAAACTATAATAGATATCAAAATATAATAAAAATTATTATATACAGGGTAAAAATTCATTTCATACGTGTTTTAGGATTTTTAAAAATATTGAGTTGTTTTCGAACAAAAAATATAAAACTGTCAAAAAAGCAAAAGTTTGATATAGGTTAAATTAAAAGTGTCAAGGTGTTTTAAAATTTAATTAATTGATCTTGAATCTATATTATATGCTTAATAATTTGTCTATACAAGAATTTTAATTTTATTGACTAGTTACTTAGTTATTTAAGATAACTATTTTCTCATTATATAATTTAAATAATACTTAAGTGCAATATTACTTAATATTAATTTTGTTATATAATAGAAAAATAGTTTTTTTTAAATAACTAAGTAACTAGTCAATAAAATTAAAATTCATGTATAGACAAATTATTAGGCATATAATATAGATTCAAGATCAATTAATTAAATTTTAAAACACCTTGACACTTTTAATTTAACCTATATCAAACTTTTGATTTTTTGATAGTTTTATATTTTTTGTTCGAAAACAACTCAACATTTTTAAAAATCCTAAAACACGTATGAAATGAATTTTTATCCTGTATATAATAATTTTTTCCATATTTTGATATCTATTATAGTTTTTGAGATACAGCACCTCCCTGTCCCTACATCCCTGAGCAGCACTACATCCAATATTAATATTTTATAATATCCGTCCCAGAAAACCATAGTACCAAAAATAATAGTTTTATTCTATATATTATATTTAGTGAGATATTCACTAAAAACCTGTTACCACCCTTCTGAAAGCGACTGTATATATATATTATTGATTCTATACATATATAGTAAATGTGATATTAATTTAATAATTGCATAAATAATTATAAAAATAATTGAAGTAACAATACATAGACATTTAATATTGCTTATTATACGCATTTTAATCAAATACTATTAAATCATTTGATATTATAATATATGATATTATAAATATTAATAAAGTAATAATAATAATAATAATATAATTATTGAATGAATTATCTTTGATTGACACACTCTGAGTAAGGAGGTGGTGGGTCAAACATATATGCCAAGTGTTGTTGTGTCAACAGTGCCACTGGGTTTTCCGCAATCAAAAGTGGGGTTTCGCGCACTTGTCTACCACTTATACATCTATTTTTTCGGTACCTCCTATATATGGCAAACCCTAGCAAATAGCAAGATGTGCACAATAATATAGCACCTGATATTACAAATATAATAGTGAGGGGCACTTTACTGACACATTTAAGACCATTATAGCGAGTCTCGTAATAGTTATGGTCACAGACACACATACCGGTGTCGACATCACAGCTTCTCATGAGATCATATATGTGACAATCGCTATTGTGCTTACATTGAGTGGACACACAGGTATGAGTTGTTAGATTAAGCACATAGTTTGGTCCGCACAGACATAAGTTATCCACACATTCCAGTTCGGGTTCTTCACACAAGTAGTGACAATAGTGGCCATAGTTGGACATAACTCGCGTACATTTGTGTCCATTACCGAAATCTATTTTATACGTGTCTTTACACACGCACTCACCGTAATGATTGCACAATCGGTTTACGTCATAGCGCTGACAGTCCTTATCATTGTTGCAACGATATGACTCACACCGACCCATCTTATGATTAAATTCATAATTAGCGTCACATTTACACATGAAATCCATACAGACTTCATGTGTACCGCAGTTGTCATCAGTTTTGCATGACTTTAGATGTGTTGTCTTTGGTCTACACATAAACTCTCCGTTTCTGACACCGACCTCTTCTGTGCCATCAGAACACTGACAAACACCAGTAGTTAACAGACAGACTCTATTGGTGTCCCATTCCTGACAAACCTCATCACTATTGCAGTAGTAATCTTCACATTTCATAAGCTTTGCATTATATCTATAGTTAGGCCGACATTTGCACATCCCTTCTAAACATTGTTGGTTGGGGTCGTGACACGGGTCGTATGTCGAGCACCGTTGTATTGAATCAAATTGCAAAAGCACATATCGGTGCTGATTAGGGTGGGCTAGAAAATTGGAGTCATAGGACATACATTTATATACTACTATTATAGGATATAAGAATATTTGACAAATAATTTGATATTTATAAAACATTATGCGTTAGTTATCATATGAACAATAGACTTAAATTAATAACACATTCATCATTAAAAAAATCGTAATAATTTTGTTTAATATTTTATATTATCAGAACTTGTATTCATTCAACTAAACAACAATAGCATTACTTCGACAACATTTGATATCTTGTTGTCTTTGGCAACAATTTTTATACAAAACATAATCATATTATTTACTTAAGGCTTAGCTTTTAAATAATTGATTTTAATTTATTATATCAATGTTTGTTTTGATTGCATACACTTCACACTTTAAAACTTAAAAATGTTTTATTTAATATAGATTTAATTAATTAACTAATTTTTAATATATAATAATAATACTGTATAAACTAATTTGTCTTTTGTTGTATTTTATAGCTAAGATAATTTTTTGTAAAAATTACTTTAAATTAAATTCATAATTAATTAAGCTTACATAACTTTTAATGTTCATATATTTTATTAAAATAATAATAATTACAAATTAATCTTGAAATATTGTTATCAATTTCTATAATGTTAATATTTGTAATATCTTAAATATATAAGGCGTGGTTCACATATTACGTTCGCACTTGAGGGGAGTTGTGCCTAGTTGAGTTGCCTAGCGAACTTTTGCGAACGAGGGGAGGGGAGGGTATAGTCTTTAAAAACGTTCGCATTTAGATAATATTTTATTTCTTGTGGTGGGGGGGGGGTWGCGGTTAGGGACATGCGAACGTATTTTTTTTAAATGACTACATGCGAACAATTGCGAACATAGGGGAGGGAGGGGGTCTAGATTTCTTAAAAAGTGAGAACGTAATATGTGAACGACTCCTAATAGTTTAAATGTTAAATCAAGTTTATTAATTACAAACTTAAATACTGTATTATAAATTTTATCATTTATATCGTATTATTTAAGCAGTATATGATATACTGTATATCCTATTAGATATAAGGAATTAATTAAACAAAGAATTAAAAATTAATATTTACGGTATTTTATTATACAGTAAATTTACATTTAGATATACAGTACTCATTTTATTATTTATTATTTAAGATTATAAAATAATAAAATAAAATTTTATTAAGATTTTAATTAAAATTGTACATTTTAAAATAATTTTATATTAAAATGATATGTTTGTATAATAGATTCAGTATTTATAATTCAATAACTTATATTGTCATAAATAGAAACATTAATTATATTTATGGAAAATTATATTTAACTTAGAATTCACAATATGTATTAACAAATGGTGATTGATCAAAGAGAGTGAGTGAGTGAGTGAGTGTGTGTGTGTGTGTGTGTGTGTGTGTGAGTGAGTGAGTGAGTGAGTGTGTGTGTGTGTGTGTGTGTGTGTGTGTGTGTGAGTGAGTGAGTGAGTGAGTGAGTGAGTGAGTGAGTGTGTGTGTGAGAGAGAGATTTTAGTCTACTTTTTTAGTATTTATTGAAAGTGATATTTATGTGTTTATTTGTTTTAAATGTCATAATTTAAGTGATATTTTGAATCAATTTAATGTTTCACATTATTTCAATGTGTTTTCATACCAACATAAATGTGATTAAAAAATTGTTAACTTTGACTAACTATTATAGGTATGCTTTTAATTACTGCAAAACAATATTAAATATAATAATTTAATCTATGTATAATACAAATTATACGTATTATAGAATAATATTTAATATATTTTATGCAATTTAATGAAACTCTAAATATTAATAAATTTATTGAAAAACAAATTATAATTATAATTGGCTATAAATAGTCTCTGTTTTGTTTATTGTCGCCACAGCTGTAGCACCAATTGCCTCCTCATAAGGAGGGGGAGCAATACCGACCGATAACATTGGGGGTGCACTGCAACCTGCAGTCATTAAGTTGGCATTTAATTCATACAAATGCGACGGTTCATCATTTATGGGTCTATTACTGTAATAGTATGGTTGAGGTTCACGACGAACTATATATGATTTATGGATCAAATTGTTTTCAAACTGATTGTTCATTAATACCCCATTAGATATATTAAATAATTCACTATTTATTTGTTGTGCACTACAATCAATTTGATCATTATTTCTATTATTATTTTGAATTTGTAAATTATTACTATTACCGGCATTATTATTATTATTATTATTATTATTATTATTATTATTATTATTATTATTATTATTATTATTATTATTATTATTTATTGTGTTATTATTATTATTGCAATTATTATCATTTATATTGATTTGATTGTTATTTTCTTCATTTCTTTTAATTCTATCTAAAAGACTTGTAATTATAATTTTTTTTCTATTGACAAAATGTCTTCGGTATAGACATCCGGATATCATTAGTAAGACAATTAAAGCGATGACACCAGAGATCATATATATGGACCAACTCTTGGATTCTTTAGTTTGTGGTTCTTCATAGTCAGTGTCATACTTGCATTGATTACCATTTCTTAAATCTTCGATATAATGTTTAAGACAAACACATTTACCATTTTGACAGACTCTATGGGGGTCATCACTAAACCGTGATGAGCACTGGTAGTCTTCGGTACAAAATGAACGCTTGCAATAACCATCAGTTGTTTCATAATCTGCATTACAAATACATATATTATTGAGACACCGTTGGTTTCGGTCAGATATACAGTCACAGAAAACATGACAATCTTTACCAAGTGTTGTGTCTATTCGCTCACATTTAAACCCATTTGTCTTATTTGGTGCATAAAGTGGCGCACAATTACAGTAATAACCATTTGGTTGTTTATAATTAGCACAAATATCCGGGTCTATACACAATGTCCTGTTTGAATCGTATGGTATTTTACAATAATTTTGTGGATTCAAACATTTATTTGATTGTGAGGGCACACACTTTTGATTGTCATTTAATTCATAAAACGGTTTACACTGACAAACACTGTCCATACATACCATCATAGGATCGGTACAGTTATGAGTGTCATTACAAGACTCCTTTGTTTCTGCAAATATGTTTGGTATAAAAACATCGAAATTATTTTGAACTAAACTATTTCGATAGTCATCGTAATCATTGATATCTTGATAATTGATATTTTTATAAACTGATAATTTTGTCGTATTTATAGTTAAAGTAAATTCTGGTTTTAAATTATCAGCAATTGTTTGTTGTGTCATAAAATAAAATACACATAAAACTATAACATAATAAAAGTACATTATTTAATTAGTTAGTTGTACTGTAGTTATGTACTTATTTATTACTCATAATTACTTATATTAATTTTTATTATATTTTGACTTGTTTTGTACTTTCGATATTGATTTTACTATTGAATAATTTAATTGAAGTATTATAAATTATAATGTACAATTTTTTAAATGTCTTGTTAACATTATTAAGTATTAACATGGTTACGCTATCTTTTAATTAAAAAAACCTATTATTTTTATATAATATCAAAATTAGAAAGATATAATTAATATAAGAAAAAAGAAAATATTATTTAATTCATGTTAATATTTTTATTAAATAATTTGTAATTTATTTTTTAATAAATCTTATAAAAATGAAAAAATTATTTTTATTTTAATCATAAAAATGTAATTTATAGCTTTGTTTCATTTACTATGGTTTTGAATCTAAACTTTTGATTATTTAGTTATTTATTAAATAAACTGTAGAGTACTTAATATATTTTTGTTTTTATTTTAGTCTTAAATGTATCTTACTTTAATATAAAAATTACTATAATAGATTGATTATAGTAAATTAATTTGTAACAAATATTAATATTACTAATTTTATGTTACAATTTTATGTGGAAACTAAATGTTTCAGCAAATTATTGAAATAAATTAATACTCTAATAACTTATTATTAATAAGTCATACAATATTTCATTTTATGTGTTATATAATATGATATAAATTAAGAATCAATAAATAGATCAATAGATAAGATAGCAATACATGTTTGCTAACAGATCTCCATATTATAACCTCTAATATATTAATATATTATTTGCTTTAAAGGAGCAATAAATACAGTATATTTATGGTTAATCAAAAGGGGTAGAGGGGTAAAAACAGTTTACCCCCTTATAGATTAATAATTAATGATTTTACAAGTTGTAGACTACAACTACAAAATAATTTTATTCATTTTTTAAAACAAAATATGCTTTTAAGATAATTAAAGTCTATTATAAATGATTTCAATAATTTTATTTATAGATTACCTTAAATTATTTAGAGATGATTCACATCGACATTGATTTGGAAAATATTTGAGAAGTTATGGAAATTGATATCTTTTACTTTAGTAATTTTTGGAAATTTATAATAAATGTTTACATCACATCAAATTACACCTCTATTTTTTGTCAATTTATTTTACCCAATATCCCTCATTATAATAGAAAACATTGCTTAACCCTGATTATATTATGCTCAGGTACAATAAAAACATTATATAGAAAATAAATCAAATCAACTAAAGTGTACTAAACTGATCTCATTAAATAAATGATAAAATATATTGTTGTATACATTGGTTAAATTCAACACAATTGCAATTATCTGTTGATTAGGTGTTAATTTTACGTAATTACAAATTACAGCATAAGTTAGGTATGAGTAACCAATGTATTGCACCAATGCTTGACTTTCCTGTCAAAATATACGGTAAATATATTAAATATTTTATAACCAATATTTGTTTTTAAATTATCATATGATTCATACTTTAATCATTAGCCGTTAAATTTGAAGTATTTATACAAAATATTTTTCCTAAAATATAGAGTATTATAATTTGTTTTTATAACGGTTGACACATTGATAGAAATTTATTATTGAATTTTATTACTTATGACTTAACAATTTATTTAATTTATTTTCGTTTGAAGTTTTATTTTTCTTTAATAGTAGTGCTTGAATCTGATTAAACTCAATAATTTTGACAAAGAGGTAATTGTTATTTTTTTAATTATGTTATTTTTGTTAATATTTTATTTTATTAATGTTTGTTTACTAACTTTAATAAAAGTAATTATTCAATTGTTTATTAGTTCAATTTTTAGTTAATAATTTTTTTTATACATTAAATAATTAGAAATATATTAGTGAAAGAAGAAATTTATGTTATTTATAAATGACTGAAATAAATTGCTTTATTGTTATTTACAACTAAAAAACTATTTATAATTCTAAAATAAACTATGATTTTTATAATTGAATAATTCAGCAATATATATAATATATATAATATATATAATATATATAATATATATAATATATATAATATATATAATATATATAATATATATAATATATATAATATATATAATATATATAATATATATAATATATATAATATATATAATATATATAATATATATAATATATATAATATATATAATATATATAATATATATAATATATATAATATATAATACTGTATAATATAATAAATATATAAGCTTTAAATATAATGTAATGTTATTATGTATTTTAGTTAAATTTGTTAAGCATAAATTATAAATGATTTTGTTGTTCAATTTTATGATAATGTATTTGATATGTTGTTAATAATGATAATTAATTAATATTTATATATCAATAGATTGATTACAATTCAATTAAACAACAAACATGTTTTTAGCCAAACTATTATCTGAGTGTCCGGCAAAAAGTTGGTTACATAAAAACACTGTTAAAAACAATACAAGTGTTCAGTTGGCAGCAAATGACCCAAACATAGACAATGACACCCAAAGGGCACAATACGTGCGCTCAATACCTAACGCTTTGTTATATAATGATCTACTACTACAAGGATATCTAGTGAACAGAAATTTTTTGACAAAAATTAATAATTTTGAAATCCGTGAAAATGACATTTGGTTGGCAACGTATCCAAAGTCAGGCACCACTTGGACTGAAGAAATTTTGTCACTTATTTGTAATAAGGGAGACATAGATAAAGTCAAAGACAAATTGCTGCCCAAACGTGTGGTTCATTTTGAAGTGGGTCGACCTGTTGGGCACTCCAAGTGGCTCAAGAAGCTCAAGTCACCCAGGTTGATTGCCACACATCTACCTGTTACACATATACCTAACCAATTAAAGCAGACTAAATGCAAAGTAAGTTAATCTATTAATTAATTAATTTGATTTCAAAACTTTCAAAATCAATTAATTTTACTGAAATTAATTGTTAGTACAAAAGTACAGTCGCACAAAAAAAAATAACGTATATTTTAAGTTCATTTTAGTACTTTTTATATTTTTTTGGGAAAAATTTAGATGTATTTAATTTGATAAGTTTTATTAGAGTTATAAATTTATATTTTGTAAATTTGTTACTTGTTTTTATAACATTATAAATATTATCATTAAACAATAAAATTTATTATTATATATTATTTCATACTTATACACAATTATTAATATGTTTTATGATATTATAGATAATATATGTGGTACGTAATCCCAAGGATACCTCAGTATCATTTTACCACCATCACCGCATGAGCTCATTCCTGGGCAACTATGACTGGTCGTGGGATATCTATGTTGACCTATTCCTAAAAGGTCAGTTAGTTTATGGTGACTGGCTGTCCCACGTTGAAGGCTATTGGCAATTACATAAACAATACCCAAATCGTGTGCTATTTGTTTCATACGAAGAATTAAAGACAGATTTACCGAAAATGATTGCATTGATCGCCCGTTTTGTGGGTCAGCCTCTATCGGATGAGATCATACAGAGAATTGCTAATCACTGCAGTTTTGATGAAATGAAATCCAATAAAATGGTTAATAGAGAAAAGCTACCGATATTTGCAAATGGATTATTTGATATGACTGAGACTAAGTTTATGAGGAAAGGCATTATCGGTGACTGGAGGACACACTTTACCGATGAACAGAGCGATAGATTTGATAAACACTATAACAAACAACTCAATGATTTAGGTATACATATAGCTTATGATAGTCAAGAAGCGCAACAATTAATGCAACCGTTTGGACGTATTATTTATGGCAATAAAGATCAAACTGAACTCTCAAATGTATATAATATATTGTAATATTAGTTATTTATTTTTGTAATTTTGAATTTAATTTCTAAATAATATTAATTAGGATAAAAGTAAAACAATTACTTTATAAAATAATTATAATGTTGTCATTTCATAGAAAATTTTTGCTTAATTTCAATTCATTTTAATTTTATCTATTCATTAAAATATTCATTTTATATTCAACGCTTAAATTTATTTAGTTTTATTTGTTATAATGTTATTAAAATAAAACTGCTATAATAGATAACGACTCTAATATTAATCTCACATCAATGTAATCTATTATAATATAAAGTATAATTAAATTATATGTATAACAGTAGTTATTTCATTATACACTATACTCCTCTTTAATGTTGTTTAAATGGTAAAAATGAAAAAATTTGTATTATAAAAAATATATTAAAAGAAATACGATTAAATTTTATTGTTAATATTAATATTATTTTTTAAATAACTTAATTTAAAAGATTTTATAAAATAATATAACTTTAACTAATGACTTCTATATGTTCAAATTAATTAAATTATGTTTATAATTTAAATTATAATATATTAATATTAATTATCAATATATATTATTTATTAGTATAAAACATTATGATTTAAAATAAATTTATCTAAAACAATAACAAATTAAAAATTCTTTAATTTAATAAAACCGAAACCTTTATTCAAATATTCATTTGATAGTTATTTACCAATAATTACTAATTAAAAATAGTAATTAAAGTTATTTATTTAACTCTTGCAAAACAATATTTCTTTTTATAAATAAATAAAACTATCATAAGATTCATTATATGATTATTAAATAGTATTTAATTAAGAGTATTATCAAAATACAGGTAATTAATTAGTTACCAAAAAAACAAACAAAAACAGTGAATAATATAATATTATTTGTCAAATGATTTGCTTATTTTTCAAAGTTTTCATTAATATGTAAAACTATAATATAATATATTTGTATTATCACTATATTTGATGTTTCGTATCGATAGCGACATAACACAGGATAACAACACTTACAGTGGTATTCAATAGAGATATAAAACTAAGAACCAACTCATACTTAAAATTTTAATACTTAAGATAAGTTGATTCTTATTCTTATAAAACGTTGCAAAAACAAGTGCTCAAAAAATTGATGCTTATGTTTGCGCATCATGTATACACATGCGCAACACTTAACCGAATCAGTAAAGAAACTATGAAAACAGCTGTTGTTGTTATTGTTATTTAAATAAAGTTATCGAATTAAACAATGTCACGAAAAAACTTTTCTGAATACGACCGCAATTTGTTAGTATCATTGATTGAACCATTTTCTTCAATACTAAAAGATATGAAGAAAGATTCAATCACCAATCAAAAGAAAAAAAATATTTGGGAACAAATTGCGGTCGGGTTTAATTCAGACCCAAATATAACGTGTTCCCGTAATAATGAGCAATTAATTAAAGCATGGCATAATATTTGCTCGCGCACTAAAGAAGAGATTGCCAAGAACAAACAGGCAAGAAAAAAGACAGGCGGCGGACCACCTGCAGAGGAAATAAGTACAATCAGTGCCAACGTTGCAGGTAAACAACTGTCGGGACTAATGAACTATACGGAGATCAATATAATACCGAAATACTTATTTTAGGAATGTTAGGGGATGTATTAAATCCATTGGACAATCCATATGACGGTGATGTTGGACATCATGACAATGATGTCACCACATCCAACAATAATTTGAATCAGAACTCGCACGAACCAGGTGATCAAAAACTAACACCAAGAAAAAAATCACCAAATAAAAAGTATTTTATTAGTCGTAAACGAGTCTGCACTCCATCAACTAATACAACAACTGATGAAATATTGGAAATGAGACGTAAAGAGCATTTGGCTAAAATGGAATTATTAGAAATAAAAACTGAATATTATAAGAAAAAATTGAAATCTAAATTTGGTAATTAAATAAAATATTATTAATAGTCTAATCTATATAATTAATTAATTACATTTAATTTGAATAATAAAATAATTTTTATAAATATTAATTAAAAAATCTATTAATAATAGATTGTCTTAAATCATTTCCTGCATTAGTTGTATTGTGATTTTCGTGCTGAGCAGTATCCAATACAACATCATAATTAAAATCAAAATCATTTTTAGATATTAAATAATTATGTAATATAAAACATGCGGTGATTGTTGTTAATGAATTATTAATATCTTGTTTAATAGATCCTGATAAACATGAAAATCTTTTTTTCAAAACACCAAAAGCTCTTTCAATTGTATTTCTTGTTCTTATATGTGAATAGTTATATGCTTTTTCTGCATTAGTCTTAGGATCTAATAATGGTGTTAATAAATATGGTTTACATCCATAACCGCCATCACCTAACCGAGTCAGTAAAGAAACTATGAAAGTAATGGTATTTACATGTAAATAACTTACCTAACAACCAACCGGGTGAAATAACTTTATTAACAAGTTTAGCACAGATTTCACTATTATTAAATATGCGACTATCATGTACCGAACCAGGCCATCTAACAACTACATTAGTAAATCTAAGATTTGCATCACAAATTGCTTGAACATTAATTGTTATGCAACCTTTTCTGTTACGAAATATTTCACGATTGCTAACACCTTAAGTAAATAAATAATTATTTTTTAAAGTATAATTATTTAATTATATATTAATATAATATACCTGATGCTAATATTTGTATATGTGTGCAATCAATTGCACCAATTACTCCAGGAAAAGGTCTGACAGATTGATCATTAATAAACAAATTATAAAACCCTTTCATAATATTTTTTGAATTTTCATTTGTTGGTGAAATTATAAATTGATTATATAATTTGCATATAGATTTAGATACACGGGCGACAGTCCGAGATATTGTAGATTGTGATAATCCAATAGTATCACCTAATCGAGTCAGTAAAGAAACTATGAAAGTAATGATATTTTACAAGCAAATTATATTTTTTATTTACCTGTTACTGTTTGCATCGATCCTGTTGCATAATATCGAAGTGCAATTAATAATTGTTTATCTGCAGGTACTCGATGATTATGAGATGGCCCTATCTCAAGATCTTGTTTTATGAAATTTAATAGATCTGTAAATGAATTTTTATTCATTCTATAGCGTTTTTTAAACGCATTTTCTGGATATTGATCCAAAGGGTTGCACTTAATATATTTAACTCTTTCAGTGATTTGTCTTCTTTTATTAATAATATTAATATCTCTAATTAAAGACAAATCGGAGTCCATTATCACTTAACTGAGTCAGTAAAGAAACTATGAAAACAGTGGTATTTTTTGATTATTGTATATTACAAAACATATGATTGCAATATATTTTTATATAAAAAAAGCCAACTTAAAGGCTTTAAGTATGATATGTGTAAAACTTAAAATATCTGTGATCTGAGCATCAATTTGAGTTACACTTACAATAAGTACGTTTATTGCATACTGTGTGAGCATAAACTAATAATCTAAGCACTAACTTATGCTCAAGCATAACTATTGAATACCACTGTTAATGTCTAATCATTTAATTACTTGAAGAGAGTCTTTGCCGTACAGTATATCTATTATTGTCTGATATAATAATTTACTCATACTTTTAAATATTACACTTATTATTAGTACTTTAAGTATAGATAAATTTAGTTTAGTTTTTTCCAGTGAAATGTTTTTTGTTTAGATGTAATTAAAACGTATTTCATTTATTTTGTTATTATATTTTGATAAATAAATAATATTTTTGTTTTTATAGTTAAAATAGATAAATATTGCAATTGTTAGTAAATAAATAATTTATATAATTTTATGCAATACATGGATTACATAATTTTATATAAAATATAAAGAAATTTAATTACTTTTATAATTATAATTTATTATAATTTTTTAATTATATGTATTTATATAACTTTTATTTTATAATGTGCATCAAAAATTTATTTAAAATTTTTAATTTATATATAAATACAATTATTTAATTAATAAACATTTAATCAAATTATCTTGGAACAATTAAAAATGTTAATCAATAATTATTAATAGATTAACATCTGAGATCAATGTACTAAATGTAACAATAATGAGATTATAAAGTACACAAAAAATCATTATAAGTGTAATTCATATATTTTAAAGTATTTCTAGAAATATTTTTAAAATAATTTTATAATTAAATTATAGTCAAAATTAAAAGTAAAACAATCCTATAGAGCACTTCAATGACAAGACTATTAACATATAGCATGACCTGTCGTTTTTGACTTTCGGGTAACAGTTGACTCACTTTATCAAACAGATCGATGGTGTTTAGGTACCGGTGCTCATCAATATAGATGTCATTTGACATTTTGTCATCAATCAAATAATTTTGTTCAATAAGTTGAATTGGATTTGAAGTTAATTTAATATTTTGGCCATTAATTACTTTGATAGTAACAGAAGTAATAATAATAATCACTAAAACTTTAAATTAAATTAAATTAAAATAAATTACTACATTGAAAACAATAAACATAATTGTATTATATTTACCTTGACATATTAATTTAGAAATGATATACATTGTAATTGAAATTTTTAAATAATATTTCAAGTATTTTAATTAAATGACAACATTTATAATGAATTGTCGCTCTTTTATATAACATTCAAAAGTAGTCACAAAACCGATATCTTATCTCTCGACGCCTTCCTGTGTGTTATATTTCTTACTAATTATTAGTTAAATTATATCAACTAATCATAGAGTGACTGAATGCACAATATTTTGTTACAATAACTAACAAACATTTAAGAAAAAATATGTCAACAGTTTTAGTATAAATAATATAATCTAATAAATATATATTTTAAATAACTTTTAATTTAATTAAACTATTTAATACATATAAATAAAAAATAAATAAAATTCTGTTAATACTAGTTTCAATATATCTTATTTTAATTAATAATATTTAATTAAAAGCTAAAAATAAACTATTTGTCAAAAAACTAATTATATTATAAGTAAAACATAATTTTAAGATAATTAAAATAATAATAATATATAAGATTACTTCACATATTTGTCTATATGTTTTTTATCAATTATCTTTAAATTACACTAAAATGTAAAATTATTTTTATTTTTTATATTTTAATCAAAATTGAATAATTATTTTTAATTTAAAATAATATTCGGTAAGTATTAATAATAATTTCCTATTTTTCTAAAAATTTATATAATTTTTTAGTCCTTTTAGATTTTGAAATTAAAAATGTTATAAAAGTCTAAACCCATCCGTATTTCACCTAATTTTAGAAAGTCTTAAACATCAGCGCCGACGACAACAGCGGCGATGCTTTTAATTTCAATTATCTGGTCAACAATACGCTGTATTTAAAAGTGACCAAGGGCAATGTTGTAGATAATTTTAAACTAAATAAAATTGTAATTGGTCATTTTTAATTAATTGTATGATTGGCCATAAAATTACAGTCGACTGTTAAAAAATTGTAAAAATGATAGTCGACTGCAATTATCTGCCCAATCATGAAATTAATTAAAAAATGACCAATTACAATTTTATTTAGTTTAAAATTATCTACAACATTGCCCTTGGTCACTTTTAAATACAGCGTATTGTTGACCAGATAATTGAAATTAAAAGCATCGCCGCTGTTGTCGTCGGCGCTGATGTTTAAGACTCTAATTTTTAGTAAACCATTATTAATATCTTTCACTTCTTTATGTATTTAATTTCTAACATTAATTGTAAAAAATTATCAAAACCTTAAAATTTATTTATATTTTATTCAAAAATTTTAATCCTTTAATACATTTAGTTTTTAGTATTTTTAAAATAATTAATTTAGTAGGGACCAATTAATAATTTACATATCTGAACTTAACTACAATTAGGGGTTGTAAAGATTCACTCCATTGTCTTATTCCAAAAGTTCCAATGTTCCCAATGTTCCCAATGTTCCTAATGTTCCCAATGTTCCCAATGTTCCCAATGTTCCCAATGTTCCTAATGTTCCCAATGTTCCCAATGTTCCCAATGTTCCCAATGTTCCCTGGGAATTCATAATAAATCTATTTTCTTGTGCTACCACCTATTGACTCTTAAACAACACATTTTATTATGTTTTAATTTTTAATTTAAGTTTTTGTGCTATTTATTGTAAATAATTTATTGTTAATAATATAAATTATATTTTCCCTTCTAACGAGTTAAGGAGGAAAAATAAAGTATTTTCCATATTTTCCATTGGAGAGATTTTATTAGGGAACTTCCCCCCATTGGTAATCATTACAAACCCTAACTACTATACAGTAACTGTATTATGCGATACAATGTCTTATAATAACATTTGATGATAAATAAGTAAAGTTTGGAAAACTAAGAAAATTACTATTTGTTTTGATATAAAATAATAGTTTCTATTAATTATGTTATAAAATAGACAACAATTATTTAGGCATTTAGGTATAAATTATAGTTATTAAATCAAATAAATTATAATTGAATTTCATATTGTTTTTACTTTAAAAAGAAATGTAGATTTTCAGTAAAATATTAATCGATTAAATGTATTAATGATTTTTCGGGATTGACTGAACTGCGGTCAGCAATGGGATATTCTGCGGTCGGCTATATCTCGAATACGGTAGGTCAGATGTTGCGGTCACCAATAGAAAAATTGTAGGGAACAAAAAGTTTATGTTGAAATGTATGGTCAAAAAAAATATCTGACCACCAGGGACCACATAAAAAAATTAAAACTTGTTTTTTATCAGTAATGATGCTGCGATTTAAATAAAATTGCGGTCAATTATTAACTGGAAAACCAGTAGTCAGATATCAGTCAGTAGTCAAACATAAAAGATTTAATTAATAAAAAGGTAGAAACAATGACACACAAATTTTAGGTCCATCTGTGACGTATTTTTTATTTTAAAATGTTGCGGTCAGTGTTTATCTAGAGATTATTGTTCCTTTCTTTTAATTAACAACTTTTATATGTCCACAAGTAAACAATGTAAACTTTTTGTTCCCTACAACTTTTCTATTGGTGACCGCAACATCTGACCAACCATATTCAAGATATGGCTGACCGCAGCATCATTACTGATAAAAAACAAGTTTTAATTTTTTTATGTGGTCCCTGGTGGTCAGATATTTTTTTTGACCATACATTTCAACATAAACTTTTTATTTCCTACAACTTTTCTATTGGTGACCGCAACATCTGACCAACCATATTCAAGATATGGCTGACCGCAGCATCATTACTGATAAAAAACAAGTTTTAATTTTTTTATGTGGTCCCTGGTGGTCAGATATTTTTTTTGACCATACATTTCAACATAAACTTTTTGTTCCCTACAACTTTTCTATTGGTGACCGCAACATCTGACCTACCGTATTCGAGATATAGCAGACCGCAGAATATCCCATTGCTGACCGCAGTTCAGTCAATCCCTGATTTTTCTTATATCATTAAACTGGACTTAATATTAATATGTGATTTATAACTAAAATAAATTATCTGTTTTAACAATGAAATACTTATACGATTTAACTATTTATTATTGCATTCAACATACAATACAATAAACTATTGCATATATTATTAATTTTTATAATAACATAATATTATTACATTGCAATCCATCATTTTTAATACTTTCTAACTAATAATTAACTGATATATAACTGTATGTTTCTGGGAATAATCTTCAACATAATATTAAGTATATAAATGATATATATAGTATATATGTATATAATTTATTATTTAAAATTGTTAATACAATATATATCACTATATATAATACATATAATCAATATATATAATTGTATATATGATTAAAACAATGTATTTTACTAATTTGTTTCATTTGATTTTATTTTTTCCTTTTATTAAATCAAATGTATTGACAGAATATCCTGATATGTGTCCGACAAACGGTCGCTGTTATCATATTAACGAAAGATGTGTCGATTCATATTGTATTTGTCAAACAAATTATAAATTCAATATAAATAGCAAAATATGTGAACCAATTGTTTGCCAATCAGATGACCAATGCGTTGATAAATGGATTGATTATATGAAAGAATGTAATACAACTAATGGACAGTGCGTTTGCAAACCGGGATATATTGAAGATAATAATAATGGATTCAAATGTACTAAATATGATAACAAATCAATCATAAAAAATCATATGAAAAAATATGTTATTATTCCAGTGATTATAATGTTAGTCGCAATTATATTAACTATTTTTGTTAGTTATCGATATTTATATTCATCAAATGCAAAATGTAAATGTAATGTAAAATACAGTATTGATAATTATACCAATAATACAAAAGATCAAAATATTATAAATATTTAAAATTATTATAAACTTTATCTTAAAATAACACAATATATTCAAATCATTTATTGATGTAATTATAATATTGTAATAATACTATAGTTCTTTATAATAAAAAATATATTTAAACCCGACGTCTATTTCTTTTACAAACTATATAAACACCGATAACACTGACAAATGCCAATCCTATGGGTACAGCAAATGCAATCCAGGCATCGGTTAATATAAAATATTTATTAGAAATTTTCACACATTTGTCACCATTTGACTGATCCTCTTCATAGCCATCATCACAAACGCATGTCTTATTACTTTTAACACAATGTCTGTGTGAATCATAAAATGAAGTACAAGTGCTATTATAAAGTTGATGACAGGGATCGTAGTAACACTTTTGATGACTTACAATGAAGTGGTAGTTTGGTGTACACCTACACACCTGATCGACACACCGTTGATTAATCTCATAACACGACTCATTAGATTTGCAATAATTATCAAATGTTTTGGACACCGGTATTATACATTTGTTGTCGTATTGTTCATCGGCTAAGTAGTTGTCATCACAAACACACTGACGGTGCCGACACACCCGATGCTCATCATATTGTTGGCACTCATTGGTTGTATTACACATATTCAATGTTAATGAATATAAAATATTAATTTGAATTAAATATATAAAATATATTATTTTTATCATATTTATATAATATTTATAATTTATTATACTATAATAAATACTTAAACTATTTAAGTATAATTATAATTTTAAGTAAATAAATAATGAAACTATTAAAATAAAAAATATAAAATAAATTATATTAACCGATGATTTACTATTTCATTGTCAAGTGTTTATTAATCAATTAATTAATGTTTTATTTAATAGAATTAATAAATCTTTTATCTGAAGCATACCTGACATTATCACTCAATTATATGATTTATATTTAGTTAATCAATTAATTTTAATATCAAATATACCCAATAAGGTTGATATATTATTTATCTATGTTGCATAAATACTAATAAAAAATTCAAGTAATTAAATTTATAATAATCATATTAAATAAAAATTGATACATAATGTAATAATTTTGTACTATTAATAAAACATAGTTGTATAACAAATTAATTTAATTTTTAAAAAATTTAAAACTACTTTTAATCTCAGAGGTTTAAAAACTTTTTAAACAATAAAATATATTTCTAATTTATTTTTAATTATTTAATCAATTAATTATTAAGTTTTAATTTTTTTAACAATTGGCAGTTCTTTCAATGTCTTGACTACAATAACATTAATAACTCATTTTCAGAATATTTTTTTTCAATAATATTTAATAATAATAATAAACATTACAAAAAATGTACTGTAATTTACATAAATAGTTTTATAATTTTATTAATTACTATATTTTGTTATCAGATAAAAGTTAGTATTTTATTGACTATTTTATTGAAATTTAAACAAATAAATCTTTATACAGTACTACTGTTTATAAATTAATAGTTGCATTTACAGTACATGTATATTAAAGTATAATTAGTAATACTGTAGTTTATTATAGTAAATAATTTGAATTAGTTTTATAAACTGTAACATTATAATAATTATGTTTATAACGACTATATATTATTATTACTGTAGAAGTATTAATAGTGTGTACATTATAACACATGAAAATTAGGATTGATGTTATTATCATAGTTACAATGATATTCAATAAATGAAAATAATACAAAATAACTGACCTATTATTTATTAATTTTTAAAATTTTATTTAAGATAATAATTTTTAAAAATAGTATCAATAGTTGAAAATATTATTTGTCCTTTTGATTGTTTTTTCTAATAACAATTTTATTACAAATTATAAGCTTTTAAATTGTATTAATATATTTCCTTACCTTTTATCTAATTGACTATTATGTTTAAAATCATATATAAGTAACCAAATCATGAATATTATTGCCACTTAATAAAATAATTAAATTAATTTAAATATATAATTTAATATAATATAATGTTAAATGATATTTACATAAAAGCCATTCAATGAAAAATATTTCCATAAATAGGTATCCTTTGTGGTCAATAATATAACCGACGGCCAGATCTATGAGACCGAGTATTAAATTGATGAGAGCCTGGGATATACCAAAAGCTGTTCCCAAACTGTTTTTCGGGACAACAAATGAGATAAGTGTCCACACAATACATGCAAAGATAGAGTACGCGATACCCATCACTGTTATGGCGACCCAGGGATTGACAAATGAAAAACTTAACATTAAGTGAGATATTGTTGTCAACACTAATGAAAGTAACACAAACTGGAGGTTACGTCCAAAACGACCGATTAGGACACCCATTACTGGTGAAGCAAATATCGATATAAAATAAATGCTACTATTTATTAAGTTTGCTTGCGATGACTTAAAACCAAATTTATACTTGTAAAACGGTCTGGATCATTTAACAATTCATTAATTTTATTATAAATTATTAAATGTTTTAATAATATTAAAAAAATAGACTTACATTCCCAATGAGATAAATGGGAAAACAGCACTATAATTAAAAACAATAATCCAAACGAGTGCCCAATAGTCAAACCTGAAGTTTATTATATCTTTTAACTTTATTTTGTCATTATTTTTATCACTGGGTTTCGGTTTTATATATTTTTTGGCTCTGGTATCTAAAAACGCCAGAATTATGGCTAATAAAAGATCCATTAATGGCAACAATGAGACAAACATGAGAACTACTCCCAGACATTGATGTCCAAAATAATATTGTTTAAAATAATTATAAAGCGGTTCCATAACAATGAAGTTTAAAGTACTACCAAAACGATTGACACTTAATTGCATACCAAACACAAAGTTTAGTTCATTTTCTGGAAACCACTTAATAGCCCGCATATACCCAATCAATGTAAGGGTATCGCTGCCCAATGAAAACACAAGTCGGGCCAATAGCATCACCCAAAACTTGCCCACATATGCGCCAACACCGAGTAATAACTGTCCCAATACAGTGAAACAACAACATAATACTGTTCCCAATTTGATACCTAAATACTTGTCGATGAGATACCCACTGATCAAATTAATAACAATGTTAGCCCAGGCAAACACTGAGTATAACAATGTAAATGTTGGAGTGTTTATTGACATATCAGTTATTGTGTGTTGTTGTAATGACCCAGGTACGTCAAAACAAAAATAATTACCTACAAATATTTTCATCATTATTATTTTATTTATTAAATTGCAAATACTCAAAGTGTAATAGACATAAAAATAAGTTGACAATCAAGCATACCTGTGCCCAATAAACATAATAAAACTAAATATGAATATCGATAAAATCGATGAGACGGATGAGTTAATCCAATCGATTTGCCTGTTATTTCATCAATTAATTCACTGTTTTGCATATTTAGTAAATTATTTTCTCTAATTTTGTATTCAATATTTATTTTTTATTATAAATATATATTAGTTATTAATTAAATTTTTATTCTACCCAAACATAAACTTAATAGAAATAATTGCTTTATGCCTAATATCATTTTACTTATTATATTATCTAAAATTTTTATGACAATTATAAAAATACACATTTATATCACATGTCAATTAAATGATAATAAACATCTTAATAAATTTTATTTGATGGCAATGTATGCCAAATTAAATTTTAATGAATAATTTTTTTTTTTATAAAATTAAGACAATAAATCTTCACTTTAAACTAAAACTAAAAATTTCATTAATAATACTATTTGTATTAAGTAGTAAATATATATTAAAAAATATTCATAATATGTTTGAGATAATATTGTTGAATTGATTAAAACACTTGATGTTAACCATAAAGTTTAGGATATATTTAATTTAACTTTAAATTTGCTGTTAACCAAAAGGTTGGTGGTTCGAGTCCACCCGATGACCAGGTGAATATTTTATTTTTTAAAATAATAATGTTTCTAATTTCATTTTCTATTGACTTGCAGTTTTAATGTAATAGTGATTACAATATAAAAATTAATAAAAAAAAGTGTTGATTACGCCACCGGGTGGACTCGAACCACCAACCTTTCGGTTAACAGCCGAACGCGCTAACCGATTGCGCCACGGAGGCATATATGAACTTGCTAATTTTATTGTTTAACCAAAAATAGATTTAACAAAAATTTGAAAATTAATCATTTTATAAAACACTTGTGAACTAATGACAGTTCAACTTATAATAAACTGCTAAATAAAAATGCATTTGTGTTTACATAAAAGTTAACTGATATTATTTTTAATTATTATTAATATCTTTATTCTGAAAATATTAAATTCTGTACATAATTGTTAAAATCTGTTTTAATTCAGATACAATAAATTTATTAATTAAACTATAATATAAATTTAGCAAATTACATATTAATAATTTTAAAAAATAATATTAACAAATATAAAACATAACTAAATTAAACATCAATATTATAACATAATACAGAATAAGTATTAATTGATAAAGTATCATGGTCATAGCTATTAATTGTATTCTAAGAATAAATTATTCTAAAAAATTTAATAAAAATCATTTATTTTGCAATTTATAAAATTTAAGATAAATAGAATTTTAGTTAAATTACAAAAATTACTTTTAGCAAATATTTTTGCAAATATTTTAATTTTATATTTACACTTTTTACAATACTATTACTAATATATRTTAACAAAATTATATCATAGATTAATTAAACAGTGTAATATTGTATTATGAAATAGTTTAATATAAAATTATCAATAGAAACAAATAATTAAAGTATTTTTCTATTTTAATCCCTTTGAGTAAATGTATTGTTAATTAATTTTTTAAATATGCAATTTATTATACAATCTATTTAATAATTGCAAATTATATTACAAAAAATTAAAAATTATTTAGTTTTTCATAAATCATTTAATTGCTGATTTTTAAATTGACATTATTTTAGTTTAGTTTATTTATTTTAGTAATATATGTAATTTTTTAAAGGTTATCAGTGAATACAATAATCATAAATAAATATAATTTTTAATCAATTAATAACTTTTTATCCAAAATAGCAAAATATTTATAGTAGCTATAGAGACAATTAATACTTAGTATATAATTTTAATGTATTTGACTGCTAATAATTTAATTAAAAGCAAAATTTTTAAATTTTTAAAATATGTATTTATTTTTAAAATTAATGTTTTTAAGTTTTCAGTTTACATACTGTTTCAGTGATAATATATTTAATATAATTGATAATATTAGTAACAAAATAAATAACAAAACGGAAAGACACATAATTGATATAAAGCATGAATTACTAAACAATGTTTGTTATAAACAAATTGAGCATGATAAACTAAATTGTATTCAACAAAAAGTACCTAATTTTAATCCATTAGTTTTTGAACCAAAATATACCTGTTGTTTAATATCAGTCCAATTGGATTGTATGGTTGAAATCGGGAAAGTAAGTTATTGTTAAATAAAACTGCATTTACATTATATATCATTTATGTATAATTTTATTACATTTTCAAATAGAAATGTGAAAAAAATGACCATGATAAGTTAATATTGTTGGTAAATCAATTGAAATCTATATATCCAAGTGATTGTTATCAACAAAATATACAATCATGTGATCATCATTTTAGACATTTTTGTCAAGATTTCATTCAATATGATTACAAAAAATGTATTCAACAAAAATTGCCAAATGTTGTCCAAACACCACTTATGTATAATTATTATACCTGTTGTTCAATGAATATTGCCTATGATTGTGCAATTAAATTAGCCAATGTAAATATATATTATTAAAATATTATTTTATTTTTAAAAATTAATTTAACTACACTGTTTTTCAAACACAATAAATAGGATAAATGTCAACAATTTTATGATGACTATAAAAAATTAATAGATAAACAATTAGACTTTTATCAAACACAAGTCTGTCAATTGTTTAAATATACTCCAAATTTGCAATATTGTGACAATGGATCTACCATTCAAACTGATTCATGCTATTTATTTACATTAAATGATCAATTATCATGTTTGCATAGAAAAATTGGGCATGGTCATTATGATAATACAAATATTAAGGATCAACAATATAATTGTTGTATAAGTGACTTGAAATATGATTGTCAACAAAATATTGCTAATGTATACTTTTCAAAATATTTTTAAAAAAAAACTAATTACTAAATTACTGAACTAAAATTTTTATAATTAGGATAAATGTACGTTAGATGAATACAATGAATTCAAAAATAAAATTGATAATGAACATGCTCAATTACATAATGGCCATTGTAAAGATTATGTCTATAAAAAAGGTCGGCAACAGTGCTCATTGGGTAACAACTTGTTTAGTGTTATGAATATATATTTGTTTTATTTATATATATTGTATATAATTTGTTCAATATTATAACTAATATAACATTTATAGCTGAAATTTATATTTGCATTTATAAATAAATGCAAATAATAATTACAATAATTGTATAATTTACATGATATGTATAAATAATTTTCAATGATATACTTTTATAATATCTATTAAATAATTAAACAATATTCATTATACTTATTATGGTTTATAATATAAACTTTATATAAATGGTATAATATAAATAAAATAAATTTATTTATAACATTTATAATAAACATGGTTAAAATAACTTACTAATATTTTTATGTAAAAAGTAATGACTAACCTAATTTGTTATGTTAGCAATATGTGCCTCCGTGGCGCAATCGGTTAGCGCGTTCGGCTGTTAACCGAAAGGTTGGTGGTTCGAGTCCACCCGGTGGCGCAATATTTTTTGTGTAATTTTTTTTCTATTATTTTTAAAATAATATTTTTAATAAATTTTTTGTTTATTATTAACTTATAATTTTTATTTAAATATTGATCAGTGACTTAATGTAAAAAAACATTTTAACTTAAGTCATATTGTATTAAATAAGCTACTGTTATAGTAAGTTATCAATATAATTTTATTAGTCGTAACATTTTAAAACAACTTATTTAATACAGTATGAGTCAAGTTAATATGCTTTTACGTTATAGCACTGGTTACAAAATAAAAATTAATGGCAAAAAATTATTCCGCCACCGGGTGGACTCGAACCACCAACCTTTCGGTTAACAGCCGAACGCGCTAACCGATTGCGCCACGGAGGCAGATATGAGCAATGTCATTTTATTATTTAACCAAAAATAGATTTAACAAAAATTATAAATTTTATAAAACACTTGTAAACTAATGACAGTTCAACTTGTAATTAGTTTATGTAATTTATGAAATAATTATTAATAGTATTATTGTTTTTTAATATTTACTAATACCATAAAATTGCATATGTGTTTACATATAAAAAATTGATATATTTTTTTAATCATAATTGTTATCTTAATTTAGTAAATATTAAGTACTGCACATAATTGTTGAAACCATAAAATCTGCTTTAATTCTCATACAATATATTACTATTAAATGTATCAATATAAAATACATAATAAACTACAGGTAACAAAAAATAAACTATTTTATGAAAAATATCGTAAATGAAAACAAAATAATTAAAAAATATGTCTAAAGTAATTTATATATCTATCTTAATGTGCATAATTAGCACGTATTATACATATAGTATACAACAATTAGTGGATGATTTTGATTTTGATATTAATGTTATGAAGTTATTGGATGATAATTATGATAAATATTTGGCCAAAAAACAAGATCCCTGTTATATGAAAGTCAAAGACCGTACACTTAATGAGTGCTTCAAAAATCGGGCAAATAATTACAATCCTTTACAAAAATACAGTAATGACAGTCTATGTTGTTTTAATTGGATTAAACTGTATTGTTCACTTGAATTAGCTAATGTATAAATAAATTTTTACATTTTTTTGTTAACAATTTTATTAATATCTATTAACTTATTTTTGTTTTATCATTTATATTAGCCTCTAAATTGTAATTCATTAGATTATAAAAAAATGGTTTTTAATATTAAACAAGTTATTTATTTCGATCAAATCGATATCTGTACGGATGCTAATCGTCCATATATTGCGGGTATAACAAGTTGTCCGACACCTTAAAGTAAATGATAAAATCAATTATTTTATATTTTTATCCAATCTTTTGATTTTGTATTCAAAATTTAAATCAAATAAAATGTAAAAATAAATAATGAAAAATTTTATTCATTAAATTAATCTCTTAATTATTCTATAAAATTTTATAAAATGTTTGTCGAAATACTGACTTAAAATATAGTTAATTCATATTAATTAATATTAATAATAACTTTTTAATGACATTTAATAAAACTTTTTTTATCAAACAAGTCGTCGGCATTAATACAATGAATACTCTGAATGTCTGATGACTTAAAATCCTTTGGCAACCAATAGTTATAGCAGTCTTGACACGAAAGTGTCGACACTGTTATAGTATTAGTTTTGCGGAGTTTAAGAAACGGTTCAAATACTTTCTGATTTAATATTGAAATATTGTTGTCATCGATATCTAAATTAACGGCGCGTTTAATGTTTAGTATACCCTTAACTAAATCATACAGTTGTTTGTCAGTCACACCGTTGCTATTGAGTGCCAAACGCATAGCATTTGATGTATTATTGTTTCCCAAATCAAATGCTTGATCTGATATATACGTGATTTTGTTTGAACTCAGATCCAACTCTTGTAGAGAACTTAAGTTAGAGAAGGAGTTGGTCTCAACACGTGTTAGGACACCATTTTGTAGGGCTATGTTTGTAAGCTTTGATAATCCGTAAAAAGCATTGTTTGGAATAGCAGTTAGTTTTGTGTTACGAAATGACAGAAATCCCAGATTTGTTAGAGTATTGATAAACTTGAAGACATCGGGACTCGACTGGCTTTGAACGGGTGTATCCAAAATACTGAGTGAGTCGACCACCAACTGTGCCGACAAACTCAAGGCGTTAACATTAAATTTAGTCAATTGGGGTTCACTTTCGATTGTTATCTTTTTAAACTTAACATCAGATAGCATACCGTCAACCAATTCACTAATACCGGTGCCTCTCATATGAAACTCATCATAAAGTTTATCACTTCCTTTAATCTCTGCGCTCAATGTCTTAAAAATAGCTTTTATGTCAACATTTTTCTGTTCGCACGTGATTTTGGTGGTCCGGAAAAAGCGATCGACAGTACAATAGCACGGCTTAATGATCTCATCTTTAGGACAGTCGGCACACAAATGTTTGCCAAATATTATGCAATATATAACGACAAACGTCCAAAAAACTAAAAAATAGTAAAAAATATTATTTTTATTAATAGATTTCTTGTGTGTATTTAATTTTATATTACCTTTATTTTGCATTTCTAAAAATATTTTAAATTTTATTTTGTAATTATTCAAACTTAATAAATATTTATTTTAAATAAATTTGTGTTTTAAATTTCCAAAATATATACTTTAATTTAGTAAAATTAAAAATAGTATATTTTTTATTAAATAAATAAAAGTTATTATAAATTTTATCAAAAAAGAGTTTTTATGTACTTAAGTATCAAAATGTTAATAATATATTAAACATAAAAAATGAATACAATATAATTTAGATAATATTAACCTTACAGTGTTTTCAAATATTAATTAAACATTTTTTTCATTAATTAAATCTAAAAAAATAAAGCCTATCAATAATATTGTAAGTACTTTATAAGATTTATTTTTTTTTTATTAATATCATTGTGTTATTATAAAAACAAATTATTTTTAAAATCTATTTAAGTATGTGATATTATTAATACGGTATAAATTTATATGACATTTATATATGAATTTTTATATTAAAGAATTTGAAGTAATTATTTAGTAATTAATAATATATTGATAATAATATTTATTTAAGCTTTGAAAATTTAATTAATATTATTTCTCAAATGTCTTATTAATTGTTTATTTTTGCACTAATTTTACTAAAATAATATACTTTCTTATAACTTAGAAATTTATAAAATGTTTATAATAATAATTACCAGTTATCTAATTAAATTTATAAATTGCTAATTATTTTTAATCTCAAAAGTATTCATTAGACTAAACTAAAATTATTATTAATTATTAAGTTATTAACTGTTAATAAAGTGTTAATAGTTAAGATTATTATTAAATGTAAGGGTTAAGCTAATAATTTATAATTTAATATTAATATAACAATCATTACTATTTTTATTATGAGAAAATCAGATAATTTTATGTTTGCAAAATTTATTAGACAAACAAAATTATTATCTAAAACAATAGATAAAACTTTTACTCAATAAAATCAAACATCCTTTTATAGGAAAGGATTTTTTATTGAATAACAAATTGCATAATTTTTAGGTAAAATAAATTAATTTTTAAATATTAAATTTTTTAGATAATAATATTAACACTGTGCATGACTTTACAATAAAATAAAATATATGAATCATTTAAAAAGTATAGACTAACCTAAAAAATTAATTATACAGTATTAATAAACTAGTTTCACAATAGGATTGATTTTTTGGTTACTTTGAGTTATCTAAAAAATAATTAGATTTGATAACTAAATACTTAGTTTAACTTTTACTCAAATTATAGATTTATGAAGTGCTAGCAATTATAAAATTACAAGTGTTATTATACCTATATATTTATTATTGGTATTGAACTAAATTGTAATTATCATATATAAAAGTATTTAATTATTTTTGGATTATCTTTAATCATTAACCATCGTTTCAAACTCCAATTGAATAACACATGTTTAGTTGAATAAAAATTCTAGATTTTTTCTATCAATTGGTATAAATAGTGATCGATTTTTACTGTAAAAGTCCATTAAGTTTTTTATTGATCCAAAATCAATACAAGAGCTCTAAACAGTCAAACAATGTTGAAATTTGTGTGCTTAGCCCTCGCCGTCGCTGTTGTGTCAGCCGGTCTCCCATACAAAGACTGCGGTAATTATAGATTTATGTTTTTTAATTTAATTTATATTTAATATAATAGCATTATAAACGTAAAAATAATATAAATATGTCATCAATAGCAAACAAGGAGGTGACCAACGTTGAGATCACTGGATGCACAACCAGCCCGTGCACACTACACAAGAACCAGAAGATCACAATCACCATTGACTACGTTGGAAGTATGTATTGATTTATCTTAATTTGTTGACATTTATGTTATTATAAAATCTAAACTTAATGTGTCTGTCCTCAGATCAGGACACCTCAAAGGCTGACTGGGATTTGGTGGCCAAAGTGGGTGAACTGGAGTTTGATTTGGCGGCACTGATCCCTGGCTTCGACAAAGACGGCTGTCACTCACAGAAATGTCCCGTTAAGAAGGGAGACAAAGTTACCTTCAAATACGACATCACTATTCCCGGCGCCACTCCAGAGATCGAAGCCGAGGTCAAGGCTGTACTCAAGGGTGAAAAGGGAGACCTCTTCTGCGGAACAGTTCGTGGAAATATCAAAGAATAAATTAACTAATATTTTCAATAATGCTATTAATTTATTTATTACAAATTAAAATAAATAAATAATTATTATATAATTTAATGTTTTTATTATTTTAATAATTACTGTATTTTTTTAGTATAAAATACTAACAAAATGCAACTATATTTTTAAAAAATATTTCATATTAATTAAAATGAAAATAATAAATCCATTATTTTAATAATTATTGTCACAAATTACTGTATAGTATAGTATTATAAAACCTTTTTGTTATAAATCTCCTTAATTTTCATAAAATTCAATTATCAAATATAGGTAAACCATCACAAAAAGGATTTTATTGTAATTAGTGTTTTACAGACAACTATTTCCTTAACCACACCTGTAGTTGAAGACAATGTTAGTATTGAAATCAAGAGAAACAATTTTCTACTATTATGTGTTGAGAATTGATTTGAATTGTGAATAAAATACTGATATATAAAAAACAATATTTTAATCTTAAATTAATTTTAAAACATAATAGTTATATACTATATATTTACAGCATTGTAAATGAAATGCAACAATAAATATAAAAATAATTATAATAGTATAGATTAGTGAATAACTATTTACCATGGGTAATTACTGCTATTTAACTTTGACATCATTGACCCAAAATATTTGCCAAACAACTTCACATAATATAATAATGATAAATAATGCAACGATAAAACTTAATGTAACTATTGTCCATTTCAGAGACGAGTCAATCATATTTTTTATTAAATTTGTTTTAAAATGTTGTCAAAACAGTTTTTAAAACAATTGTTAAAAATATAAAATCACAAATAATCTATAACTAGACAATAATCTATGTATATATAATATTATTTAGTATGAACTAAATTTTATGTAATTTTTATAGTGATTATGATATAAATTAGTTAACAATATTTGATGTGGTAGTCAGGTAATACTGTAATAATAATAATAACAATAACCTAAAAATTTTTATGTTTGTTTCATAGGCAACACTTAGTTTAATAATTTATGCGATAATTCTGACAAATATTGGATTAATTATTATTTACATTTAATATTTTTTTTCAACTATTTTTATGATTTTTTATAAAGTCTATTAATATTTATTAATATATCAATATATGAATAAGTAAATTAATGCGTCCACTATTGATGTCAATGCAATTGAATCAAAATACAGTATTTTTTAAATTTATAATCACTTCAAATATGAAGTTCAATACTACAGTATACTTAAGATATGGATTAGTGAAGTCAGAGATTATAATATTTAAGACCAGTCTCTAAAATAATTGATTGGATCACTGCAATGATATATCATATACTATCTCTCTCTCTCTCTATATATATATATATATATATATATATATATATATATATATATATACCATAAAAGGCAAACATTATTAGACAACCATAGTATAGAAATGCACTAAAATGAACTATGAGTATATTCGAAAATTACATAATATCAAGGTATTTATATACAATAGGTGTCTAATAAAGTTTGCCTTTTACTGTATATATATATATATGGTAACCTAAATATAATATACTGTAAGTTTTGATTTATAAAATGTTTTATATCATAACTTTAATCAGTCGCATCCAAAATCAAAATATCCAAAAATATTTGATCCATATTATATAATTTATAGAAAAATATTCAAAAATAATTTAATATAAATCAAAATAATTTACATTATTTTTAAACTATTTATAACAATAATCTTAGTAACGTTATAATCATTTTTATTAAATAATTAAAAATAATAATTTAAAAAAAATAATTTTGGATATTTTTATTTAAATTATATAATTTGGATCAAATGTTTTTCTTTACTATAAGTTTGGATATTATTATTTGAGATTTTAAATTTGAATATTTTGAACGACACTCACCTCTAATACCTTAATAATGAATATCTGTTATTTCAAACATTCATTATGACTAACTGTAAGTTATGATACAACTATAAGACATGTATTGTAATACAAATTTAATTATTTTACCAGTAATTAAATTAAACTGATTAGTTTGTGAAAAAATATATAATTTATATTAAATTATCAATATTAATTGCAAATGAATATGTATTGTTTATCTATATTTTTATATATTAATTGACATTAGTAATTTTAATATAAATAGCTCTGAATTAATTAATTTTTAAAAAACTACCAAATAATATGATTGTCTATTGGATCAGATAATATAATAGTAAACATGATATTTGATAAATAATCATAATATTACAATTATCTTATACAGTATTAAATTAATATAAATGTCAAAACAAAATCTTCACTTAGACTAAGTTATCTCATAATAAATTATCAACAAATTAGTTATTTTATAATTAAATGTCAAATAATATCATAATGTTGTATAGTTTGGATGAATTCACTTACAATGAATAGTAATCTAACAATATTATTATTTGTAACTTAATATCATATAATTTAGCAAAAATAATCACTATCTTTATGATATACCAATTAAAGTGCATATTATGCCAAAAACAGCTATTTTATTATTATTATTAATAATCCGCTTTCATATAAAGTAGACGTTATATTATATTATTATTATTATTAATTGTTTTGTTAATTTGATTTTCAGACACAGTTTCATTGACATCAACACTCGATTCCTCACTATTATCACCATGGTCATTTTTTAATTGAGTTTTATTAATTTTAATTAAAATAAATATGCAATATATAAATAAATAAGTCTTGAAAACAAATTATTTGTAATTTATTAGTTTATATATTATTTTTTACTTTATATTTTTGATCAACAATTGTACAAAATTGTAATTTAATGGAAAATAGTCAAATAATAAATGGTTATAAATTATTATATTAGTAATACTGTAAGCAATAATAAATATTGTAATGAATATATCTAATATTTGATTAAATTTTTATTGTTAATCTGATACAACCAATGTCTGCAAAATAGTATTATTTGTCGACTAATTTTTGTAATTTAAAAATTTTCTGAAACAATAAACTAAACATTTGTAATATGAGTATCAAAAGTAATGTATAAAATAATTGACTTTTATTTCGTAGCTTTAATTTATAAAATTGTCTAAAACTTTAAACTTAAAAACTTCAACTTTAGATCATATAATTGTAAAAACATTATATCTAATATTTATAAATAGTTCAATAATTTATTACAGTATTTATTTTTTTCACAATAATTTTATATAAAAATTCACGATAATTTTTTAGTAAATAAACAATATAATAAAATAAAAATTTTCGATAATGATATTTGCCATCAACTAATATATTATTACTTAATTGTTAAGTGAATAATAAAATTACAATTGTTTTTTATCTGTTTTTAATTTTGATTAATTGTTTTTAAAAATTTAAACAAAGAAAATAACTAAACTTTGAACGTTTAATAGTTTTAAAATAATATATAAATAGCAATACATTTGATAATTTTATTAAATATTAATATTTTATAATTACTTTACCAAACAATTCTTAAAGAAAAATAACTAAATGAGTTGACAATAATGTTAAACATAAATTTAATGATAAGTTTGTTGTTCACAACTATTATATTTAAATTTATCATTAGTAATAATGAAATAAATAGTATTGAAGACGACTGTACCAAAAAAATATTACCCGATTCAGACAAATGTCTTGAAACTAAAGTACCCGATCCTTACAACATGACTGATAGAGATAGGGCTTTTGAATGCTGTGTCGGCGATATTAAATATGATTGTCTATTGTCAACAGCACAGGTATGTTTGTACTTATTTATTAACAATCACTGCAATGTTATACTACTGTTTATATTCATACATGTTTATGAAATTATTTTATACTAAATTAAATATTTATATAATAGTTGACATAAAAGATATATTTTGGAGATGTAATGATTAGTAATTAGTTAATAATATTAATATCTTATACTTTAGTTATTTATTAATATATTTGTTGACATAAAATAATAATACAATAACTAATATGATTTCAAATAGACTACAAAATAAATGTATTACATGTACTGTACTTTACTTTATATTAAATTTGTAATAGATTTTGTAGAATATTTAAAGTTTATTGCACTTACTTTCAAAGATTAATAATATTAAAATTTTTAAGAGTAAAATATTAGTAATATTATAAATATATATATAATTATAAAAAATATTAGCAAACAAATATAGTTTGCTTTTTAAAGTTTTCTATAACATTGATGTTATTTAAACAACAATACCGGTATGTAAGAATTATTATTATATATAAAAATTGACAATTAATTAATTATTATAAAATTAAGAAAATTAATTATTAAAATTTAATAATTTTTTATAAAATAATATATATATAACTTTAGATTAAATGCACAAATGTTGAAATTGCAAGACTCAAACACAAACTGGATTACGCCAGACATTTGGATGATATGACATATTGCAAGGATTACCCCTATAAACCTAATACAACTAAATGCAATTAAATTAAAATATAAATATGTATTTTTAATAATAATAATTTTTTATATAAATAGATGTATATTTATTAAAAATAAACTTTATATATATTATATCTATAATATTCTATTAATATTACATATCTGTAAAATGTCATTCTTATGGATAATAAATATACAGAATGAGGAAATTGTCTAAAACCCTAATATTTTTTATCATTTTATTAAATTTTTAAATTTTATTTATTTTATAAATTATAGTGTAAAATAAATTCCATAAAGTTTCCGGGAATATTGAATGTATAAAATAATTAAATTTTAAATCGCGAGAATCTTTTGAGCTGTAAATACTGTAATAATAATATTTACAAATATTTAAACTTTATATAACATAAATATATATTATAAGTTTTCAAAATATATATTGTATTTTCAATAAGAAAATCAATTAAGAATGCTATATAGTATATTTAAAAAATTAATTAAAATTTTTTGTTTTGTTAACTATATCTACCAATTTTTATTTACAAAACATTCTCAACATTTATATTTTTGTTATATTATAGATTCAACATTTCATTTGAGAAATAAATTAAATTTATTATTAATAACACTAAATACTATATACTGTATTTATACTATATAATGTAAACATTATTACTAAATAAAATCAATATATATTATATTTATAAAAATAGAGCATTTATATTTTATATATTGTAAAATATGAATTAAATAAACAGCAAATAACTATAATATTATTTATTATTACTAATGTTTTGTTACAGAATTTAGTAAAAATGAAATTTTTTTCAATAGTATTAAAAATATATTTAAATTAATTTAATTAAATTGAAAGTTTTTCTAAGATTTTTAATAACAACACTAATTGTATTGTTATGTTTACTTATGATACTTATATTGTATTTTGACAAATGATTACGTGACTACTGAATCGTTAGTTAACATAAGATATGACCATTTATGGACATTTTACGATCAATTATTTGGAGTCACTTTATGCTATTACGATAGTAATCAAAATAATAATAATGATTCAAATTTATACGATATATTAAATGTCACGAACAATGTTATCGTATCAGTTGTCGGTTACATTAATTCAAGTCTTCAAATCAACATTTTATATGATAGACAGCCAGTTGTAAGCATTTTCATAATTAATAACAAATTTGGAAGTATTGGACATATTTTAGTCATTTATTTGACATTTGGAAGAATTTTGAGTTGGAGTTAAACAGAATCGAACTGTCCATTCAAGCACCTGATCATAGAGTAGTGGTAGTCTAAAACAATTGTCAACTAAAAATTATTATATTGCTGTACATACAGCCGAAAACTTGCCAGTGTTTCATAAGAAACACACATTTATCTTAATACCTAATGAAAGTCATATAACCATAACGTATAACATTATATATACGACTCTACTTTTCAATAGTTTCGACAAAACTATGGCATAAATTGTATAAATCAGATGAAAAGTGATTATATTATTAATTGTTATCTTAAGTAACTACAAAAGTTATGTAAAATCAATGTTTGAACAATATTTGTAGCAAATATCTATTACGTGAAGATAGTCTATTGGAAAATGGCATTAAATTTTGTGTAAATAATAACAAATCACTTGCTAAATGTGTTTTACAAAATGCTAGAAATGTATTAATTAGATGCAAACAAAATTGTCCTCAAAGTTGTCGAATTTTTTTTTATAATTATATGATTGAAAAGTTTTCCAAAAACAATGAATTAAATATTAAGATTAATATCACTATTGAACGCAACCGTATGCCCACTCAGTTAGTTGAGTACCGGGTTAAAGTGAGCCTGGTCGATTATTTGGCTAATGTGGGTGGCATTATTGGCATATATCTTGGTGTTTCATGTTTCATGATCTTTGATTTTTTGCTTAATTTTATCAAATAATGCTTTTAAAAAATTATTATAACAAAATTGTATTATTTATTAATAATAAAATAGTTATTTTAAGCAAATTAATAAATACATATAAAAATTATAAGTTTATATTATTATTTTTAGTAAATCTGAGAAAAATGACAAAATATTTTACGTTTCATAATAATGTTGTAAAAGTTATTATAGGTTAGGATGAGATAAAATAAGTAATTTATATGAAATATGGTTCTATTATATCTATAGTATAATGAGTTAGTCATGTTATTATTTTAGTGTTTTAAATAATATATTACACAATCAAAATCAAAGTAAATTGCATGTTATTACAGTATTTTAGCACTTTTCCTACTGTTTTACTGGCAAATGGACTTATATTATATGTTTTACACGTGATATACACAAATGTTTGCATAATTTAAAGCATTGCTAATCCACCAAATAATAGTTAAATTACTGTATTTGCTAACAAAGACATAACCTCTAGTTTATGACTACTGTAAAATTTAGCACTATTTTACAGGTGTGTAATATTTTGTAAATTATTTGAAGGTTAAAAGTTTTAACATTTTTAACATTTTTAATATATGAATTATTTGATTTTATAAAAGACATACTAATAGACATATAATTATTAATAAATTATAATAACAATTATTTTAAACATAATAAATATCAATTGTTATTTATTAGTAATATTGATCCAAACAATTTACATTATTAGTCTTAAAATGACAACACAATTATATAATTATATTATCCGTTATTAAATTTTGATAAATTCAATAAACTGAGTATATTTTACTATCGACTGACTGTCTGTTTCTATTTATGTCTGATTTTGTTTTGTAATTTTTAAAATTTAATTTTAGATTAATTGGACAAAATGCCAGACAATTTTTTAAGTTGCTATATATTGTATATATGATATGATATTAAATGTAGATTTTTATTATACTGTACTGTACTTACCAATATGTGAATTAATTACAACAATAAAAAAAAACAATTTATTATATAATAAATAAGTGTGACTTTGTTGAAATTGATAACATTTTTATTTTTATCAATTTTCAAAATGACAATTTAGAAAAAAAACTTTAATTTAATGTTTTTTATTAATTTTAAATTTTGACATTTAATATTGGATTTTTAAAAAGATCTTATCCACGTGTTGGTCTGATAATACTGTAATAGTCTAGGCATAGCATTATATATATAAATATACCGTATAATCAATTTTTAACTTTGAAAAATAATTGCAATAATATTACTAATGTTTTAAAAATTACAGTAATAAACATATATTACTTCTGATATTTGATATCATTTTTAATAGAATGTTAAGTAAAACCTATACTAAAATATGTTTATTTATAAATAAATTAAAATGAATATAACTTTTTAAACACAATATTTTATATCATTTAACTGTAAATATGTGCATATTTTATGTCTAATTATGTTTTTTAGTTCTATTTATCAAAAAACATGTATCTGTTTAATGTCAATCTAATCTAATTAATTAATTATCTTTTTATTTATTAATTAATAAAAACAATTTTTTTAATGATTTTTTTGTAATAAATGTTTACATAAAATTTAATAATTGAATGAAATATGAGAAGTTATTATAAAATTTAACTAAAAAATATAATTATGATTTAATTATGATTTAATTATTAATTCTTATTCAATTATTCAATTAAATCATTGAATAAGTTAACAGCAATATAACAATTATTATTTATATTTTTAATAAAAATTAAAGTGATTAACAAAATAATAAAATTGTCAATATTATAGTTATAAAGAAAATAAATAAAAGTTAATTTTTAGATTTTATAAACTGTATTATATATATATTATTTTTAATTTGTCTAATTTTTTAATAGTAATTCATAACAATTTAATTTAAAGTTAATATCACTGTTGAATTTGAAAAATATATAAATATTTTAGTATTATGATTAAAGAAAACTTATAATTTATTGATTAATAATAAAATCTAATATTAAAAATTTTTTATCATTAATAAAATATTTTGTTTTTTGTTTGCCATAAAAGGATATAAGCAATTAAATATTGTATATAAATATATATATATATATATAATTTATATATATTTATCTATATACTGTAATTATAGTTTATGAAATCATTTACACATAAAGATATGCAATATTTATGCAAACATTAACTACTAGTGTTTTGTATGGTTTTTTTTAAACATGTTATCAAGGACATTAAACTAATTCTAAATAGGAAAACATCGTTAAGAAAGTTATGATGTTATAAATCATCATAACTTTAATAACAGTTATATTACACGTTGTGTTCACACACACACATGTCGTTAGTTTTTGTTATATAAAAATATTTTTGTATACAATTTTGTATTTATATAGTATATAAAGTTATCTAAATTAATATAAGTGATCGCTGGCAATAAAATAAATTTAACATTAATTAGATTTCAAATACCAAGGCTAATATAGTTGAGCCCATCAATGGCCCCCATCATCACCATTGCAATGATAATATGTTGCTGTTATCAAAGTGTTTAAAAAAAACTAAAAAACATCGATGAATATGCTTTACATCACTTTGTGTTTAGCAATGAGTTTAACACATTGCAGTGCAAACATCGGTTAATTTAACAAACAATAAGTTATTTAGTAAAAGTAATTAGTCATATTATTTAATTGTTTATTTTTAACATTGTATTGTATATAAATAATCCAATGCTATTAGTTGACAAAATGACAATTGTAACTATGCTTTAACATAAACCACTAATGATAACTATAGTCAAATTGTAATATATAGTAGTAGTAATACAATAGTATTACAGAATATGAATTGTTTAGTATTACCGTTAGTTTACTAAGTTTTGAAATATATATATATATATATATATATATATATATATATATTTAAAAGGTTTGATTTTAATTATTAATTATATTTAATTAGAATTAAATGATAACAACATTATAGAGACATTGGGTGGTCATATGTGGGCAATGATCCAGTTGTTAATTATGTCAATTAAATGATGAAATATATGTGTGTATTAATTGTCATCATTTATCACTTCAGAGGCAAAGTTATCTCAATGTGACACAAGTTATTTATAGACGAGTTATTTATAGTTAAAATACAAAGATTTACAATATTTATGTAAAAAATGTTACAAAAGTCGGTTTCGTGGATCAAGAAGAATGTGTTGTTATGTCTGACTATTTTATCGGTAGTGTTGGGCCTAATCATAGGCTGTTGTCTAAGGTTTACCACCTATAATGAGGATCTAGTGATGTTAATCGGCTTTCCCGGAGAGCTACTGATGCGGATGTTAAAGATGTTGATCCTACCGTTGATCATCTCATCATTGATCTCAGGTTTGGCTCAATTGGACGCCGCCGCCAGTGGTCGGATGGGCTCACGAGCTGTCGCTTATTATTTCGGTACAACAATATTAGCTGCTGTTACTGGAATTATACTTGTGTTGGCCATTCATCCGGGAGATCCATCTATTAAGAAAACACATGTGATGCCAGTGTCGGGATCAGACACTCGAGTGTCAACAATAGATGCACTGTTGGATTTGGCCAGAAATATGTTTCCCGAAAATCTTCTTCAGGCGACCTTTGCTCAGGTGAGGACTGAGTTTGTACGGGGAGAACGATTGACACTGACTGGACAAGAGCATGATCTTCCGTGGGATCGTATTGCCAACGAAACCGTTGAAGTTATGGTCAACGGCCGTATGATCAAAGAAACTCGGTTTTACCGATTGACCCGAACATATCCTTATAGAGATGGCTCCAATGTGTTGGGACTTATTGTATTTTGCACGGCTTTTGGTATAATTTGTGGTCAAATGGGCAAAGAGGCTGAAGTGATGGTTAGGTTTTTTGTAGTAATGAATGAGATTGTCATGAAATTAGTTGTCCTCTGTATGTGGTATTCACCGATTGGTATCGCATCGCTAATAATCAACAAAATACTAGAGATTAAAGACGTCTATACTGTTGCTCAACAATTGGGTCTTTATATGGTTACTGTAATCGTTGGACTTATAATTCATGCCGTGATTACACTTCCGGGCATTTATTGGTCGGTCACTCGTAAAAATCCGTGGACTTTCTTTAAGGGTATGCTTCAGGCGTGGGTCACAGCATTGGGAACGGCATCATCAGCTGCAACACTACCCGTTACTTTTAGGTGTCTCGAAGAAAATAATAAAATCGATAAAAGAGTTAGTATTTATTTAATTTAATATTATTATTAGTAAAGGCATTAATAGTTATATAAATATATTCTAGGATTATTTTTTTTTGTGTTTTTTCATAAAAATTGTTTTGTTATTAAAATTTATTATTTGATTCAAATAGGTTACTAGATTTGTACTGCCAGTGGGTGCCACTATTAATATGGACGGTACGGCATTGTATGAAGCAGTGGCCGCTATATTTATAGCGCAGATGAATGGTATTGAGTTCAATATCGGGCAAATCATTATTGTGTCGCTCACGGCTACGGCCGCCTCTATTGGTGCCGCATCGGTACCGTCAGCCGGTTTGGTCACTATGCTTATGGTGCTAACAGCTACTGGTTTGCCTACAGAGGATATATCAATGATTATTGCGGTCGATTGGTTTCTGTATGTTTATTATCTTAATTATATTTTGTGTATTTTAACTATTTTTTGTTTCAATCACTAAGTGATCGCATACGAACATCAATTAATGTTTTAGGCGATGCTTTTGGTGCCGGTATGTATACTATATAAGCATTTTATTTGTTATTATTATTATTATTATTATTATTATTACAGGTGTTGTCTATCATCAATCAAAGCCAGAACTCGATAAATGGGATTTAGATCATCCCATCGATCCCTTTGAATCCAAACCATTGATTATAACAGAGTTGACACCCTTAGCTAACAGTGCTCCTCTCGCTGATAATATTGAAACTGAGATTTAATATAATTTATATAATTTCAAGTAAAACTAAAGCAATCAATTTAAATATAAGTACCGGTAATACTTATTTCACATTTGCATACATTTATTTACATTTTCAACAAGAAATCATAAATGAAATTTTATATTAATATGTTTGAATTGTTTTATTTTCATTTAGACTTAAATTTAAAAATAATTATTTATTTAAAATAAATAAATAAATATTTAAAATACAGATAACATATGTTTAATAATTAATGTTAAAATGCCATAATAATTATAAATTTTAAATATGCTAAACCCGTTTAATGTGTTTAATCTATAAATTAATTTAAAATTATTATGTTATTAGTAATAAGTTATATATATTGATATATCAAATATAAATACTCATTTAATTTGTTATTGTTTATTATACTTTGTTTTGAATTTTTGTTAATATAATACTCATTTATTAAAATAAATATATACGAGTGCCCAATAAAACATTAAATACATATATTATATCATAAACTCAATAAAATATTAAACGCTTGTTAACCTTAAAAATATTTAGGCAACTTTTAAAGTAAATATTAATTATATATTTATTTTTTCAACTAACTATGTGTTTTTAGAGTAAATGTGTTTAAATGTGTAATTTTAGGTAAATTATTTCAAAAAAAACTGTTCTAGTTTAAAATTATAAAATATATAAATCATAATAAAAATATACTTTAATTATTAATTTTGAGTAATTTTGTTATACAAAAATATATTTAGTAAAATTGACTTAATTTTCATAATGAACATTAAATTAAGATTAGATACAATTATATTATTGTTATTTTTATATTTTATTGAATCTAATGGTAATGGTGTTAGTAATGAGTTAAACGATAGTGAGATGACTGTTGAAGACAGGAAAGGTATCATTACAGGTATGTTACAAACATGTACGTACTGTTATAAAGACATTGTATAGATTATGTACTGTATGGTTGACTAATGTGATTCATTATACTGGTATTAGTCGGAAGGCCTAATCGGCAATTACCTGCTAAATGTTTGACAACCGGTAATAAGGTTTGTAGAGAATTGCAGCAAAAATGGTATTTCAGTAAAATACTCAATAAATGTGTGACACAATTTTGCCCGGCCTGTGCTCCGGGACAGTTTGCAGATCAACTCACTTGCAATCAATGCTGTGTCAATCAAAAAGCCAATTGCAATACTCAAAGTTAGTTCAAATATTATTTGTATTGATTTTTAAAATTGTATTAATGTTTGTCATTATCAGAAAACTTGCCGATCTGTGAGCCGACACACTATACCTATATCTACGACAATTCAACGGCCAAATGTGTGAGCACTAGTAGTAGCTGTAAAGCAGGCTTTTATAATAATCTGACCGATTGTACTAAAGCCTGTCCATCAAAATCGATATAAAATTGTTTATAATTTAAATTTATATTATAATTTATTTTTTAAATAAAAGTGTTTAAATTAATAATTTTTATTTTCAATTAAATTTAGTAAAAATTTTCTATAAAAAATAATAGCTAACATATATTTTTATAAAGTTTATAAGACCATTAATATCAATAATTTTTTATAAATGTAGAAATAAAATCAAACAAATAGATAGTTATTTAGCATTGGCGTGAATAATAGGGATAATTGCGACACAAATAACTATTGTAGGATTGAATTTGTCTTTGAAGGTAATTGTTAACCGCCTGATACTCATTTGTATTACAGCTTCGCTAAAAATATAAACAAATAAAATTATACAGAATTATTCATTTTTAAAAATATAAATATGTTTTTTTAGTTTAAATACTTACAGCTGCCTGTAGTTTGCAATCTATTTCAGCCCAATAGCGACAACACGTTTGTTTCATATCATTAGTGTTGTTATTGGGATAACTGGTAATACGGTACCGAATATTAGCCATACATGTGTTGATGACGTTATATACTCTCGTCAAACAAGCCTGTGCTGACTGATCATCTTGTTGGTTGCCAGGATAATAAGCACCGGGATTATACCCGTTTTGGTAATTAGGATAATTTTGTTGACCAAGGGCTAAACCACTTAAAGCTCCCTGTCCCAACACAGGGCTTGACACTAACAATACTATGCATAGAATTGCTACGAAAATCATTTTATATAAACTGTTGAATTAGATTTTATTAGACAATTAATTTAATTTATAAATTAAGCTCTTTATATACTCTCAATTTAAATGTTAACTATTTTCTACATTTAATCTTTTCTTATTGTAAATAATTCCAATAATAAGTTTTAAAAATATCTTTGCTTGGATACATTTATTTCTAATTATTATTAAATAAATAAATTATTAGACATAAAAACAGTAATGTGTAACCTAGAAATGTTATGACTATAATTTAATAAATAAAATATTTTATTATTATTTAATTAATGACAAATAAGTCATGAATTAAAAAAATGAATTCTTCGATAAGTTAATATTAAAATTTACTAATTAGTAATTATTAGAGAATTAATAAAAATATAATAAACAATATTTATTTTTCTATTTCATTTAATAAATTATATGATAAAAATGTAGATCTAATTAAATACTATTCACATAATAGTGAAGACATAAAAGTTTTTTATTTACTATTTAATAATTATTCAATTAATTCAATCTATCTATTAGTTACTCATTGTTTATGAATAATTTATGAATATTAAAATTAATATTCAATTATAATTTACTTATAACTAATATAACTTATATAGATTTATGATAATAGCAGTTATTTCAATATTTCTCTATATTACATGTTATTTGTTTAAAAATTATTTATTTATATATCATATAATTTAAAATGAGATACTTTTAGAAACAATAATTACATTTAATATTATTACAGTAGTTAATATACTTGTGTAATAAACTTTAACATCATTATACTGTAGTATTAGTTATTTTAAAAATAATACATTTTTTATAAACATACAAATAATAAAATACAACGAATAAATTACTAAAATAATCAATAATTTTGTGTTAATTTTATTTTATTTATTAATAATTTATTCAGTTATGCAAACAATTACGTTGATTAAGTGACTTTAATTAACGATATGATTGATATTTTTTGTAGATTGGATTACAATATACAGTATTGTATTCCTTAAGTATTAATACTGTAGTAAAACAATTTAAATTCAAATTATTTTTTAATATCAAATAAAAAATGTATTTATTATTAATAATAAAGAAAAATTATTATAAACAAACAAAAAATGAGTAATGATATACAGGTATATTAAGTTTATATTATACAGTAAATACCATATACTGTAAATACATATCACAATTAGTTATAAGTAATACTATAATATATGATATAATTTAAAATAAATATATGAATACAATTAGAGAAATTATAGGAAGAGTGACTATTAATAGATACAATATGTTTGTCTAAATTATTACTTTTACAAATAGTTTGGTTGATAGGCAGTGATAATATCTTTCCATTACATATAATATTATTTAAAAAGTTATTATATAGTATCCAACAATTTAAATTATGTCGACAATCAGCTCTAGAAATTTGAATGTTTATTAACCCATTAGTTTGAAATAACTGAGCAAATATATTTTGGCTCAGGTATGTAAAATTTGGTCCCTCGACTGTTATATAAACCCTACCATTTAGATCATTGAATATCTCATTTCTCAATGAATTACCAGAAAATGTATTATTAATTAAATTAAACTTTAATTCTGAATCTGTTTCGACGTCTAATGCAAAAGCGCTGTCAGATATTTGATTAAATTTATTATTATTAAAACTTAAAATTGAAAGCGATTTTAAATTATTAAATGCATTTTTGCCTATACTTTCAATAGTATAGTCAAACTTGAGAAGCCATAAGTTGGGCATTAAGTCAAAAGCGTTATCAGGTATTACTTTAATACTTGTATTTGATATCTTAAGCCATTCAAGTGATTGCAGTGTTTTGAAGACATCAAAAATGTTGTAATTATTATCATTATTAAAGTCTCTATCATTATATAAAATGGGAGTATTTATAATAAACAAGTTTTCAATATTATTATGCGATCCTATGAATGCATTTTTATGAATTCGCCGCAAATTAAATGCATTAATAATTTCTATAAATTTGAATTTAATATCAATGAAAACATTATCAGATAATTCAGAGATTTTGTTGTTTTCGAGTTTAAAATTCTTAAAATATTTTTCCGGTTCTTCTAATTCTTGACTTAATTTTTTAAATATTTGCGGCAAATCTATCTCTTCATTGCCACCACACTTGATATCAGCTAATATTGATTCGTCATATTGTTTGCAAACACATGGCTTTATTAGATCAGATGCCGGACATCGGAAACAATTCATTAATTTTATTGATAAAATTATTATAATTACTTTTAGACTGAAAACTATTTATAAAAAATATAAAAAATACATTATTTGTGAAACAACAAAAATTAATTTAAAATTACTTACTCAATTTATTCATTGTTATCATCAATTATAATATTTAAAATTTATTATTTAATATATTACACTTTGTTTAAAATTGAAACAATATTATCTGTTTAACAAAATGTAACAAATAATTTTTGCAGACATAGTATATAAATAATTACTTACAACAGTGTTATAAATGCAAAAGATAATTACAAATTTGTTTAACAATAGCATAACATTAATATTCATTATATGCACATTTATATTACTCTAACAATCGATAAGTTTGCTGTTTTATACTGCAATAGATACTATAGTTTCCAAACAATTATGTAATGTTAAATGAATGTCAAATAATATTGATTACATTTTGTTAGACACTGTTATAACACAAAAAATATATTAAAAATGTTATTTTTATTTTAAAAGAAAATTCTCATACTTTAGACAATATAAACAATTAACACATAATGTATGTTATACTTTGAATTATATCAACATTTTAAATGTTTATTCAATACTTAAAGATTCGGAGAAAATTTATTTATTATTGAATTTTTAATAGAATTCTCGGAATCTTTTAGTCTATATTTGTATAATCATTATAAGTGTTTATTATTATTATTATTTAATGTTATAATCAAAATTATAAATATCATAACCGAATGTAGCAAATAATAGTTATGATTCTAATGTTTAATAATATTTTATTAGTGTTTTATTGTTGTTTAATATATATATCAAAATTGTTATTTTTATGAATCTTATTAGAAATTAGGAGTTAATATATATTTTTATTATATATAAAAAATTTCTATATTATTAATTAACAAATATGATTAATTAATCTTAATATTTATTACCGGTTATATTAATTAGATACTTTACTATAGCATTAACTGTTTCATATGCAACATATAAATAACAATAATTTATTGCTAGAATAAATGTCACTCATAAATATAAAGAAAATGACATTGTTCAAATCAATAAAATTGATTATTCAATAATTGTAAGATTCATTACAATAGACACCACGAGTTCACAGTCAATATCTATTGTGTTTTAGAGTAAAAATATTTTTTTTATAAAACGTTACATTTCTTGCAATTTTTGAATTTAATAACTTAGCTGTCATTAGTTTTCTTAAGTCATCCGTTTATTACACTATATTATAGTTGAAATTATACTGTATTATAGATTTTTATATTTAATTTTTATTATATAAAATATTCAAATATAAAAAATATTATAAATAAAGTAAACTATAAATAGGTTTATCTTCCTTTAAATATTTTCCAAAATTTCCATATTTTTTATTTTTTCCAAAGAAGTTATCAAAAATTTATTATTACATGTTAAGCTTAATTAATTAGCTAAATATAAATAAAGTATTAATATTATAGTTAATCAATGGTTAATATATTAATAAAAAACATTACAATATCATTAATATTGTAGGGATAAATGAATTTAAAGTTAAAATAACATTTATTTAAATACTGGACAAGTGATTACATTATGATAGACATAAACAATGACTAAAATAAATATAAAGTTATAGTTTATGTATGTTTATAAATACTATTAGATATTTCTAGATATAGCAATTAATATAAAGTGATTTATTGAAAGTAATTGACAATTAATATTGTCTTAAAACAATAACATGAATATAAAGCAAATCATATTAAAAATATTAAATTTTTTATAAACATTTAACAATTAATTTTATGTAGAAAATAGTATCTATAATATAATATAATTAAACTAAGTTAATATATTAAAGTATATAATAAATTATGTATATATTTTTCTTAAGAATGAAAGGATAAATATTTATTTTATTTTCCTAAAAATAATTTATTTGAGAATTTTCCTTTTTTTAACAATCTTAACCAAACGTTGACTCTGAAAATTAATATATAATTGTTTGTGTCATGTATTTATGAATAAATAAGATTATCTAATTTTTTAATCAACATTTTTAATAATAATGAATTATTTTTGCTTTATTAATGTTATGAAATTACTAGTTGTTTAATGAAAACACAAGTTTATCAATACTTATCATTTAAGTTAATTAAAACATTTAATCTAAAATCATATCAATTTACGTTTATTTTATGTTTAGACTACATGTTCAAAAATCACTTTTATTCAGATATTATTTAGTTTAATTTTTGTGATAACATTAATATAAAATTATTATAAATATTTTTAATGTAATTTGTATTATATATTAAAAAATTTTTAAAAATTTATAATACAAATAAAATGAGATATAAGTGTAAGTAAATTTATATTATAGTAACAATTTATTAAATTAATAATACTAATTTTTATAATCTAAATAGATATATTAATTTTAATAATACTGCAATTTTTGGAAATATTATGTGTGTCATACTGTCCAACCCCTCAAACTATAGCCCCGTGTATTTGTGAACAACAAATATCGCCGGTTATTGAGCATCTCATACAATGTGGTGGCAATGATTGGATAAATTTAACAAATATTTTTGATAACATGAGTAGACAACTCAATAAGACAGACAAAATGTTTCAAAAATTTAAACTAAACAATACAGCAATTAGTGAATTACCTGAAAATTTGTTTCATGACATTGCTTTTAATTATATAGACATTGAAAATGCATATAATTTGCGCAAAATTGATACAAACATATTTAATGGTATTAACGATACGATTGAATATTTGTGGATCAGAAATACACCAATTAATGATAACATCGATGACATGAATAGTAATGTATTTTATGCCATCAACTCATTGAAAGCATTGCAAACACTGTATATATCAAACACAAGTATCGCCACAATTCCTGACAACGCTTTTCAAGGAATTAAATATTTGAATACAATTTATTTGGTAAACAGTGTTAATAACATTGGGAGGCATTCATTTAGGACACTCCGAAATATAGAAGTACTAGACTTGAGTTACAATAAACTGATTAATATATCCGATGAGGCCTTTGCTATACAAGACAGTCCTAATGATGAGAGTCTATACATCCGACTGACTAACAATACTTTTGGTGAAAATGCTTTGAGAAAAGAGATTTTTGATGGTTTGGATAGAGATGTAGTTATTCATATTGAAGGCAAAAAGTTTGGTTATTTAAATGAAACAATTTTTGGACACTTTTTACGACAAAATTCATTAAACGATATATGGTTTTCATCGCTTGATTGTAACGATTGCCGAAATGTTTGGTTAATCTCTGACTTCGGGTCACAAGTGACACGTGTTATGTGCAGTAATGGTCGGTATATTAAAAATTGGATTAATTTTGTTGGTTGTGTTGGTTATGACCAATATATTAATATTTCAATTTCCGAAATTGATTTTGATTATCAACCGGTAAATAATACTGAGTTTGCTATTAATTTAAATACAAGTCAAATATCATTTAGTTATACACACCAAACAAGTTATTTATCAATAATATTAATATTAATAGTATGTTATCTATTTTTTAATTAAAAAAACAAATATATTATACAATAGATTAATGATTTTTAGAAATAAATATTATTTATTAGTAAATTATTATGAAATAACTAAACAAATATATGTTTGAATCCAAACAACTGAAATCTTAGTCAATGAAACCATAATTGCTGTAAATATACTGTAATAGTATGAGAAATCATTGTTTGCGTAAAACATTTGATATCTTGTGTAATGTTTTTGTATAAAAAACTCTTTGATTAAATCATATTAATATCTAATAAACTTTAATGAAAACATTTATGTTATTTTGTAGACATTGAGTTATATAAATATTTATTAAATTATATTAAATTTTATGTTTTATGACTGCTTTGATTTAAAAGTTAGGAAAATGATAATTAATAGATTAATAGATTAATAATAAAATTAATATAAATACTTTAATTAAAAATTATATATTAAAATAAAAAATAATATATTTTAATAAAATAAAATTACTTTATATAATAAATATTAAATATAGTATACAAGTTAACAAAATAATTTAATGTTTAGTTATTTTCTCTGTTTAATACAAAATATTTATCTTCTCTATAATATAATTGATTTTAGGCATCTTTTTAAAGTTTCAAAAATTAATTTAATTTAATTACTTAACAATCACTACTACTTTGTTCAAAACTCAGTTTAAATCCTTTCTCAAAAATTGGATTAAATATAGAATCCGAATGAAAATGTAATATAATGGGTCCGTTAGCCTTAGTAACTACCGGTGCGCTGATAGACATTTGATTAAGAAAATTAAGTTTTCCGCCACAATAGCGATCAAATGTGGGTGAGTTTCCAGTTTGGGAACCTCCAGGTATTGTCAAATAATCTGTAGCACATACCTGATCGCCCACACCTGACAGAGACCTGTCTATCTGAATGCTATCCAATGACCACTGATCATCATTTGATGAAAATATGACGCGACAAGTGTTAAATTGACGTTCAATACATATACTATAATCCATATCAACAAAGTAATTGTTCGGGTAATTAAAACTCTTAATTATGCCAAATCTTCCTTTAAAATACTAAAACAATTTAATTAATATTAATTAAAAATTAGTACAGTATTATACATTAAATTTATTACTACAAAACAATAGCTAACTTGTAAGCATCCATAAGTAGCTAATTGTGTTTTTGTTATTTGGTTTGTCGAAAATAATTTAAATTTAGATGATTTACAGTCTAATTGTGTGACCCGAACCTGCCATCGATAATCACCAGTTGAATTGGTCTCAAATGATAATATTACAGATCTGTCTTTTATACGACTAAAAACAGGTATATACACTATTGCAAATGTTAGCATTAATTTTTAATGTAATGTTTAATAATGATATTGTTTCATAGCATACTATGTTGACCATTAGCTGTACCACACAATCTGGTTATTTTTATCGGATCAGTACCTGAGCCATAAACGTGAAAATTATCACCAACACAGACACCTTGATTGGGTGCATCCAATTGAAAGTCAATAAAATCTACTCTCAATTGACAAACATTTTTATCTTTTATATTGATAGTTAATGGACAAACATTTGGTGCCGAATCATAATTTGGATAATTAGGATTTTGAAAATAAATTACTTTATCACTTGTAGTTTTTAAACATTTAGCTGATACTGCTTATTGAAAATATTACTTATTTAAATAACAAACTCTAAATAAGTAAATCATTGAACATACCTTTACAACAAACACCTAAACCAAATGCACAAATACCAGTGTAAGTTCCTCCAAGTAATTTACAATTAATCCGTGTATAACAGATACCGGATTGATTGGCCACACCAGTGCACTGTTGGCTTAAAAATGGTGTCACATTAATCTCACTACTAGACTGACAATTTATGCCAATTAATATAACTATTACTATGTTAATGACTATAATAAGCATAATTGTAATGAAGTACATAAAGTATTTAATGCTAATTAAATATTTTAAATATTAAGTGCATTACAAATAATACTTGTATTAAATATGTTACTAAAATATATATATTATTATTATGTTATAAATATTTAATTCTCTAATAAGTTTATTAAATAGCATATTTGATGAAACTAAGTGAAAACCTAGGTGATTTTTATTTACAATAAAAACAATTAACTTTATTGTATTTAGTATGATAATACATTTTATAACAGTTATCGATAAAAACACAATATTTTATATATTTATTATTAATAATCTTATAAATATTAAATCCTTAATATTTCTTTCAAGGAAGTCATGAAAATTATATTTATTAACATTTTTATTAGTTTTCTAATGATTCTACGGTTTTTGATATCACTGCAAAAATTAACTTTAATGTTAGACATAAAATAACACAAAACAGTAGTATTTTATAGAGTTTGACTTTATGTCTACTAATAAAATTTGCCCAAAAATAATATAAACTAGAATTCATTTATTTGTTATTATAAAATTGTTGGATTAAACAAAAAAAATTATAATATAAAACTGTGAACATTATTAAATTTACTAAAAACAGATTCGTTAAGCTTAATGTGTTGTTTTTATGATTTTTTAAAATTATTTATTTTTCCCGTTGAATGTCTAATTACTATAGAAAATAAATGATCATTTTTTTCAATGTATTGAGAGAGAGAGAGAGAGAGAGAAAGAGAGAGAGAGAGATGTTTAAATGTAAACTACAGTATATATTAGATGCTCTCTATTCTCTATAATGTGATTATAAACATAGAACTATACAATAGATGGCAATTTAGAAGCATATAGTTTATTGATATTTAATCCATGATTTTTCAAATTTACTATTATTTTAAAATTTATTGTAAAAATTATATTATTATTACTGTATTATATTTTATTATTATTAAAAATAATATTTGCATATTATAATATTCATACAGTAGTTATATTAAAATAAAAATGGTAATCATAATAAAATGTTTGCACAGCATCTGTAAATTCAATGATAATTTTTAGACTTCATATCACAAATAAAGACAAATGTTAGCTCATTAATCAAAATTATGATAATTTAAACATAAATAGTTAAAACACAAATATTACGCAAAACTGTGTCTCACCTAAAAAACTACATTAAATTTGTTTAAAATCATTATACTTTTTATAATATGTTATAACTATTAACAGTTATTATATGTTTTACCTAACAATGTCTAATATAATCTTGATTTCATTACACTATTTTATTGGAAATATTTATTGTTATTATAAATTGATTTAAATATTAGGCCAAAGTCATCATAATATTAAAATCTGTGGTAATAAGTTAATTGTTATTAAAGGCGATTTTATGTTTTTTAATTAAAAGTAGATATTTAATAAATAATATTTATTATTATTAATTTCCTTTTTGGACACAAATAATAAATTATATTAATTAAGCACATAATGTAATGTTATATTATAGCTATAATGTATAAGTTATTCTGTATAATATGAGAGAAATTTATTTCTCTGCTTAAAATGCTATGAAACATGTGTTATATAATATTGTATTTATTAATTAACATTTTATTTTTGTGTGTCGCTTGAAATACATCTTTTATATCTAACAAAAGAGAAACACAATTTTAAAATGCGCTTAAATGACATTTTTGTTTAAATAATGTTATTATACTGTATTTCTATATATAAACTTTTATATAGTTTTTTTTGCAAAATAAATATTTTAATATAAATATTGATTTTAATTAGCTCTTTGCGTGTAATTTGTATATTTGCTATTTATTTTAAAATCTAAATGTGTTGTTAATACCATACATTATTATAGCAATATAACAGTTATATCAAAAATAATTAGTTATTATAATTTGTTTATAAGAATCGCCGGACTGTCAATACAATGCTATTCTTTATTACTTAAAAACCATTATAACTTAATATAATTATTTTATTATTATATAATCATATAATTCATTTTTATATTATTTTGTTTTAATTCTCACATTTAATACAGTATATTAAATGTTATTTTAAATTAATAAACAATACTTTTAAAGACTTTATGACAACAATAATGTGAATTAATGTCAACACATATCATATGAATATTTGATTTGTGTAACAGAGTGTCAAATCAGACACTTTAATATTGAATATAAAATTATTAACTAATTATTACACAAATATTATAAATAATACAATTGCTAATTATTGATACTTATTATTTAATTTAGATTTATCTATATTACAGTACATATATATATTTTATGTTCAATAGTGAATAAAATCCATAAAATTTAATAAATAAATAATAATATTTAATTCCTATAATTAAAATATAAGAAAATTTTTACAATTTATAATATATCGTTAGCAATATTAATGAAATAATTGCAAATCTATATAATGTAATAAATATTACATCCATTTATTATTAGATATAATTTGTTTATTTAGATTTTTGCTGACAAAAGCAACTTATAGTGCATTACTTATGAATGATATGATCAAGTGATGGTTGAATGTTATTGTTTGAATGATCCATTAGATCTCTATTTGAACAGTTCAGTAGGTAATACATCATTTTGTTCAATCATATCATAACAAAAGGACAGTTATTGTATGTCTCGGTCTATGTTTTTATCTGATATTTCCTCAGCTTTTATGCTTCACATTTTTAATATACATTTAAGACCCTATTATATAATCAAAATATATTAATAATAATATTTATATTTTTCTTATATATTAATTGATTTTATTTTCAAACAAATCAATATATAAAATCATATGTGATTATCAGTGACCCCTCACATCAAAGACTTAAACAAATTGTAATACTTATAAAAAAACCCAAACATATTATTAATATATTTAATTATATATATATATAACATAAATAATTTCTTACATATAATTTATTAAGACGTTATCTGAACAAAATACAAAGTAATTTTTTTATTAAATTATTTAATAGAAAAAATAAATTATAATTAATGAATAACATCATTAAATATTTATTAAAGTAAAATTAATAATATGTTTTAATGAATAATATACTTGTGATTATAAAGATTTTTATAAAGTCAACAATATTTATTTTAAATATAAAATGTTATGATATAAAGAGTTATTATAAAAGACAAAATTATTTATCATTATATCTAAATATTATAATTTATTTATAAGATAT